TACCTTATCTGACAAAAGAGAAGATATGAGTAAGGTATTAATCAGTTGACTTTATAATTATTTATTGGTTTACTTACTTATTGTTACCAGAGATTGAACCCAGGGGCACTTAACCACTGAGCTACATTCCCAGCCCTTTTTTATATTTTACTTAAAGTCAGGGTCTCCCTGACTTTACTTAGGGCCTTGCTAAATTGCTGAGGCTGGCTTTGAACTCATGATCTGCTTGCCTCAGCCTCGTGAGCCACTGGGATTACAAGCATAAACCACCCTGCCCAGCTCAGTTGACTTTAAAACAGGGAAATTTGGGCTGGGAATATGGCTCAGTTGGTCGAATGCTTACCTTACATGCACAAAGGTTCAATCCCCAGCACCACAAAAAGGAAATTCTCCTGGATTATCTGAATGGGCCAAATGCAATCAAAAGAGACTTTTGAGAGCCTGCTTTCCTTCCTTCTTCCCTCCCTCCCAGTCTCACTGTATTCCTCAGGCTCAAACACCTGGCTGGGTTCAAGTGATTTACTTTCAGATATCACTTGAACACAATAAGATTTATCAAAACTCAGGGTTAGTCAATAAAATTGGATATCAAGACTATACGATTTTTTTTTTTTTTTGGTGCTGGGGATTGAACCCAGGGCCTTGTGCATTCAAGCTGAATTGAACACTCTTTCAACCAGCCCCAAGACTGTATGATCTCAAGCATATTTATACTGGGAGGTAGATATTAAATGCTTATATGTACTAAAGCTTAGGAATGATTTTTTTTTGTAGTTAATAATATCTGCTATTCCCAACACCTTCATTGGTGTTGCTTCTAATATATTTAGACTTCTGATTGTATGTTATACAGAAACTTAACCAGTGGCGGCTTTGTTGGGAAATTCTCTTGCATCTGTCAGGAATATCCTAACTGTCAGATCAGGCGGGGAAGGCAGTGACCAAAGGAGGCAGATTTAAAAGGGCCGCTGAACAGGCTTTATTGAGATATCATTCCGGGGCAGAACTCGATCAGACCCACAGAGGGGACAGGGGAAGGGTCTGAGGAGAAACCAGGTGGAAGCTGAACCGCACTGGACTTTTATGGGGCTTACAGCAGAAAGGGAAGGGCTTGGGACAGGAAAAGGTGTTTGTAGGGTCCCTTGGCCCCTTGGAGTTGGTTAGGGGAGCAGGCTGAACTCCAGGATTGGCCCGGGGGTCCTGCTGATTGACAGGCGTTAGTCAGGAGATCTGGCTGATTGACAGGCATTTCCGCCGGCATCTGATTGATGTTGTTTTCCGGCGCAGGCTGCTTTGTTCTAAGTCGCCACCACGGACCTAATAGTAACAAAACCTAAGGGCAGCATTTGCTAAAGACACTAACTCTTCATTTGGGCCTGCAAACATGAAAAACATGGCAACTCTACCTCCATTTTGCATTTGTCTTTTTTGCTCTGAGTCAGTCACCTTGGATTCCAGGAACACGCCTGACTGATAAACATCTTGTAAAGTGATGAAAATATCCCCCAGGCTACCTCAACTTTCTTAACTCCACCCACAAGTTCCAGCCAACCAATCCTGAGGTAATGATCAGCCAATCCTCAGTTTGATCAAGACTGGTTGACTGTGTGTACCTGGTCCTCTCATCTGTTATCTGGGAGCTCATATACATGATATGAGAAAACAAGATTTAGTTTTCCATCAACTTTCTTGTGTAACATTTTTTTTCCATTAATATTTTTGTGAATTTAGAACAAATTTGTCCTTTTCTCTGGATCATTATTATTAAATATAAGTACAAGCATGCTCCAAATAATGACATCTTTGTCAATGATGGGCTGCATATATATAACTGGTCCCATAAGATTTTGTCACCTAGTGACATCACAGCCTTCTTAGTTTCTTAGTGTATTCTAGGATGTTTGCATGATGAAATCCCCTAATAATGCATTTCCCAGAACATATCCCAGGTTCTTAAGTGATATATGACTGTATAAAGGGTCTAGAGATTTTTTTTTTTTTAAAGAGAGGTGGTTCTGAATGATATCAAGTAGTATGAGGACTGTCCAGATGGCTTGTCGCTTCCTCTCTCTTCTCCCGCTCCCTCTTTTCATTTCCTTTCATCTTCTTTTTCTTTCTTTCTTTCTTTTTTTTTTGATACCAGGGATTGAACTCAGGGGAGCTTAACCATTGAGCCACATCCCATTTTTTAAAAATACATTTTATTTAGAGACAGGGTCTCACTAAGTTGCTTAGGGCCTCACTAAGTTGCTCAGGGCCTTGCTAAATTGCTGAGGCTAGCATTGAACTTGTGATCCTTCTGTCTCAGCCTCCTGAAACCATTGGGATTACAGGCGTGCACAACTGCACGCAGCTCTAAATTTCTTTCTAATGTTTTTTTTTGGGAGGGGTGGCAGGTACCAGTGATTGAACTTAGAGGAGTGTTTTACCTCTGAGCTATATCCTTAGTCCTTTTTGAGACAAGTTCTCACAGATTTTCAAATTCTAAACCAAATTTGTATTCTGAAATAAACTCTATTTGAACTTGCATTATACTTCATGTTTATTTGCATGTGTGTATAATACATATATATCATGTATATGTATGTGTTATATATTAAAATGCTTATCATATAACATCTTAAGGATTTTTACATCTTTATTCATTAGGAATATTAATCTGAAATTTTCCTTGTAATATTGTCTGGTTCTGCTCTCATGTTGGCCTAATAAAACTATTTGGAAGTTCCATCCTCTTCCACTTTCTGAAACAGTTTTGGCAAAATTGGCATTATTTCTCCTTGCATCCTGAAGCAAGAGGCTTTGACCCTGAAGCAAAAGGCGCCCCCCCCCCTCCAGGAAGTTGAGGGCGTGTCTTCAGATGTAGGTGTGTCACCCTGGGAGTTGAGCTACACTCACCTATTTCTGGTAATACTACCCCTTTGCCCTGTTTTTGGGATAGAATGTTCCACGGAAACGTCGTTTGTGTGTCCCCTTCTCTTGCTCTGCCTTTGGGTATGGCATTCCTAGATGTTAGTCAACTTGCTGACAGCAGACATCATGAAGCTAGATTCAACCCCCTGAAACCTGACCCTTTAATGTGTCAATGTTAAAAAAAAAAAACAAAAAAACATGGTATCTCCATACCAGGGAATACTAAGCAGTATAAGGAACAAACACATGCAAAAATGTGGATGGATATCAAAGGATGATAGCGAGTTGGGGGGAAAGCCAATCTCAAAGCCCATAGACAGTATTTCATTTATTGAGCACCTTTCAAAATGTCAGAATTGTAGAGTGGTTCTAGTATTTAGAGATGATAATTGAAAGGGAGGAAAACATAAACATGAACATCAAGAGGTAATTCTATATACAAAGGGAATTTTGTATATGGAATTACATTACCAAACCCAAAGATAATGCTCTGTCCTACTTTCAATTCCATTTCTTTTCCTCCATCCCTGCTTATGCTATCAACACTTCTTGCTTATATATTGTTGACCTGGCCTCCCTGCTATTCTATCTCCAACTTCACCTTTCACATTACTGCCCAAGTGATCTTTTTATTACTAAAAACTCTTCAACTTCTAAAACTCCCTCAGAGTCTCTTTTGAGTATGGTAGTCAATGTCCTTCAAAGAACTCCCCATCCATCTTCTGTTTATGTGACCATGGGCAAATTCTCCAAGGTCTCTGCCTCAGTTTTCTCGCCTGCAAGTGGCAACAATAATGGTCCTAAGTGATAATATACTACAGCACTTAGAACTGTCTGGAACAAATTAAGTGCTCTAAGGGTTAGCTATATCATCACTCAGTAAATCAACGTTCCTTAAACCCCTTTCACTGTAAATACTTAGGCAAAAATAGGATCCAACCACAATCACGACTTCTTTTGGAGGTAGAAAAAGGACAGACCTGAATCAGAAATCTGACTCTCCACTACCTTCTAGTCACAGAATCTTGGCAATTTACGTAACATCTATTAACAAGTATAAAACAGGTATTATAATATTGATAGAGAAGGATTATTATTAAAATCACATGGGTTGCCATACAAGCAAGGCTTTCTTCTCTCATTTGTTCAGTGAAATGTTATTCAGTTTTCAAAATCTTCAGAAGTCATCTCATAGAGAAGAATCAATCTCTGGAAGCTTGGGAAATGTCTTTCTATGAGCTTCTGGAGAAAAAACCTCATGCTTCTATTTTTAAAAACTTCATTTTAGAAAGGGCTCATGTTTCATTCACCTTAATAACCTATATGATCAGCACAGACAGGGGCTTAAAATATATCAGATGAGCATATGAATAAAATTACACAAGGCCCAGTAGAAATGCTGTCTAGATTCATTCAAGCCATTCTCTATTCATATTCTGAAATCCACAGAATTGTCTTCATACTTCTGACATCTTGACTGCAAACTCAGTGATTATCTACATCCTTGTGTTGTTTCTTGGTGTAGGGTGGGGGGTTACTGGTGGGGGGATTGAACTCAGGGAAGCTCAACCACTGAGCCACATCCCCAGTCCTATTTTGTATGTTACTTAGAGACAAGGTCTCACTGAGTTGCTTAGCACCTCATGCTGAAGCTGGCTTTGAATTCGTGATCCTCCTGCCTCAGATTCCTAAACCACTGGGATTACAGGCATGTGCACTGTACCTGGCTGAAAGTGCTCTATTTTAAATGCAGTGACAAATAGAATTGAATATTTCAACCTCCTTGCCTCCTTGGGTGTACTCATTCATTTCAGATCCTTCCCAATGACACATGGATGTGTGTTTTTATATGTATATATATAAAAGATATATATAATATTATATATATGTAAAATGATGCTGGGGATCAAACCAAGGGCCTCATGTACACTAGGAAAGTACTCTAGTACTGAACCACATCCCCAGTCCTGCAGGTGACCATTTAAATCCCCACTTAAGGAGTGTTCTGGTAGCTTTGTTAAGCCAAAAAAACCAAGAAAATTAAGACAATTAAATATACCACAAACTTAACATTGACAATAAACAACTTTTAAGGTGGACAAATAATTTTATTTTGTGCATGCAAATACATGTCAAGTACTGCAAACTTTTCCATCAAATTTCTCTCAAACACTGAAAATCATGATGCTCTATTTTGTGAACAGCCAAAGCTAATTATCTCTTCACTTCAGTGCTACAGCAAAAACACACAGAATTCACTCTTTGCTATTCACTATCATCACAACCCTCATTGTTCCATCTCTGCCCTCCCCCCATATACAGGCCTTATAAATCCTAGCCTTCCCCCATTTAATCCTATTCCTATAGCACAAAGGGAAACATTACAATTTGGAAATTCAAATTGAAATAAATGGAATAGAATTTATTCCCATATATATTCCCCATTTCATTGTACAGAATTATTTTAAATTATAGTTTTAAATAGAAGCTGAGTATATGCCTTAAAAATGAGCATTAAATCCATCTTAGAGATGGTGCCTGCTTTTTACATGATGGGTGTACACCATCTTTAATTTCATTTACATTTCAATCGAACAATAGATTTGCAAAGAAAATGTCTAATACAGACGTAAAAATATTCACACTAGAGCTTCACAATCGGTTGTACAATTGACAAACAGGCCTCTTTTCCCAAACTTTCCAGCTAAGCAAATTTATAAAGTGTAATCAATGCAACAAGAAAAACATTTCTCTTTCACTTCCAGGGAAAAGAATATGCAATAAACAGTATAAATGCAGACAGCAGTTGCTGCAAGCTAACCACGATACTCCCAAGTGGCTGTACAGTGGATATGTGCAGTACAAATAAAAGCCACATGTGTTGTATCACAACTACAGTATAATTGTTTGCCCAGCTAAGAGAATGCATGCACTTCCATGCCTTGGGTTATAAAGTGAGGCCTAATTCTTGACAGGTTGATGGAATATGTGCAAATGACCTTGGCTTTTGGCAGTACTAAGTGCAGCCAGTGTCTGTTTTCCACTGGTTTGGGGATATTTTTTAAATTTTATGTTAAAAACAAAAAACGAAACCCCAAACACACACACACACACACACACACACACACACACACACACACAAGCGCCTGTGCACACACAAACTGCTAGTTTCGGACTTGGGGGGAATAACTGCTCTTGGAGTAAACACACATCTCCACTCAAATGTGGGGTGTTCTAATCTGTGGTTTTGACTCCTTATATTCCCTTGCCAGCAAAGGGATACAAAGAAACTGCTAGTATAAAGAAGTTACTAGCAAACTTATTTATCCAGAAAATGGGATACTCCATGAGCACTCTCATTTGTGTTCTGCTTACAGAAGGGGTCCTTATGTAGGAGTTACATACAGTAAGTGATCCCATCAACATTCTTCATTCACTAAAACACAAGAAAGTTCTTCCAGGAAACTAATACATAGTTGCAATCCAACTTTTCCCTTTAATGATCAGTTACCAATACTGGTGACAGCCTGCTCAGAAAATGACTTAAAGAAGCTAGGGAAGAAATACTCAGATTCAAAACTGAAATCACTCACAGAATCTGACTGTTACAAATTCCACCCCTGTTAAGGAGACAACATGGGCTTTAACATTCAAAATGCAAAAGCAAGGCAGATTGTTTTTAGAATATATATTTTTAAATGTTTAAATGATTCAATTTAAAATTCCTATGAATTTTTGTGCATTTTGTATTTTCTCAAGCCAATAGGTAAAACTGGAATGTTACTTATATACTTAACACCACTTTGAAATCTGAGTGACAATTTCAGTTTTAGTATGTGAGGTTTCAATTACTATTCTCTTACTAAAGACCTAACAGAGGAGGAAAATCAGTGTCACTGGCCTAATGAACTACCTTTTCTTGAAAATTACAATGCACAACTTTTCATGTATGACACTGGTTCATCATATGGCATTGAAAGTAAGTCACTGCAGCAAAGGCAAGGGAATCTGATTTGTTTGGGTACCAACTAGGAAGAAATACATATATAACTTTCTCAGAATTCATAAAATGAAATGAGACCACACACACACACACACACACACACACACACACAAAAAAAAAAAAAAAAAAAAAAGAACTACTGATACTACATCCATAGCATCTAAATGAGGCAAATGGACTTTGGAATGAGACTTAGAAATTCAAAAAAGAAAAACACAAAAAAGAAAGAAACCACCACTTTCCTGATTTCCAGACCTCAGATTGCTTTTTCCTGATTGGCAACAGAGTTTAGTTACCAACATTATAAAATTTTCTCTCCTGTTGCTTTGTAGTCTTTGATTCCAAATATGTGTACATCACAACATGTTGGTAAAAGAGTCAAATGACCCTGGTCCGCAATGTTAAGTCACACTCTAGGTCTGACTGTACAATTTTCCTTTTTGACATCAGTAGGTACCATTTTGAAGAAAGATTAGATGAACTCTTTTCTTCTAAAGTGGTAGGAAACCAATGGCTTTACTTCACATTAAAATCCACCATGACAGGCAGAAGGTGGCCACCACATACAGAAAGATGCAAAGCAGAATAATCTCAACACAGAAACAATTCCTATGTTGTTAATGAGAAAGAGAGCAACATATTAAGAATAGGGAGTTATGTTTTATGGGATCACCTGCTGCAAGACAAGCATTATTTTAATATAAATGTTCTGTGACATACCAATAAGGTGGCAGGTATATACATACAGTGATGCAAATGTAATTTACTGGACAAGTAGGCAAACACCTAAGCAGTTTATCCCAACCCCCTCCAGCAGAGCACAACCAAGTTTCAAAATTTCAATTTTAAAATTAAAAAGATAAGGTTAAATACACAAGATCAATTTATGTAGTATATATTCACCCTCAGAACGTGCTGAAGATGTTTTGTGTAGTTCTGTTGCACAGAGGGTTCTTTCCCTGAGGGCACATAAGGAGCTCTCGAACTGTTAATAGGTCTCTATTTTGTAACAAAATAGCAATTTTAAAATCTTAAAAAAAAATACATTACCTTCAACATGGAAGATCTCACTATTAAATATCCATGAAATAGACAGACTGGTTTGCATATCCTTTTTAGAATTACAAACAGCAAATAAAGTACATTGGAAGCATTTAAAATGTAATATTTATAGAAAGGTTCTGATATAAATTATATAACAATCATGTTCCTGTAATATCCTAGGCTAATTAATAATGTCAGAAATAAGTTAATGTAATAACATGGTTTAAAACTCTTGTTCCTATTCATTTCAGATTATAGAGTGAAATAAATAAAATGTCTTTGTAGGGATGGGGAGCACTGGCCATGGCAAAAAGGTATAATACTAACCAAAGGAAATTAAGTCAAGGCTACTGTGCTGTTATGCTACAAACAAACATCTTCATACATTTGAGTATTAAATAAATGTGTAAGATCTTCCATACTGACACCAGAATATCAAAACTACCCCTTTGTTTCTCAGGTATATTTACAACTTATCAGTCACCTTATGAGCATGTTCATTAAGACAGGTATCAAACACCAGTATTTACTCATTCTGATCAAGAAATTTCAGGGAAATGTCAACCCTCCCACCCCTGGAAATGTGCACAAAACTTTTATCAAAATCTTATCTGATACAATGCTGTGGTTTTGTAAAATAACTAAATAGCTCAGACGACCAATAACATGATCCTGTTTAAGCATCTTGCTAGCAGGAAAAGCCCTTACATACAGTACACCTGGTGAAAGATCAGCTTGGCTTAAAATATTCCAGTACAATTTTCAGAGTAAACAACTTCACAGAAGTTAATTAAAAAAATAATAATAAAAGTCAAACTAATCTTAAAGAAATGAAGGAAAAACAAAAAGACAAACTATAGGCAAGATCACCAGGAAGGAATGCCCAGCTTTTGTTTTCAAATGTTGACTGAAATTTATGTTTCAATAAAATACCTCCTACAAATCTGAGGCACGGCTGGTTGAACATACTGCATACTTTCAGATGCCAAGTCAAAACAATTTCAGTCACATTATGGCAGGGCAGATATTATTCATGTTTTTAAGTATGAGTAAATGTTAGCCAATGTTCTATTATACATGGTTCATAGTCTTATCAACCTAACAGTCAGAAAATAAGGAAAATTAAAACCCCAACATGAAGTAACAATAAACAATATTTAACCAAGATAATGCAATGAACATCCAAATTAATTATTTTAAATTAAAAACCCAGCAATACCATCTTGTTAGTCAGTGCAAACGCTACATACAGGGTTTTCTCAAGAAAGCTGAAAGCACCTGATTCTTTTGCCAAGTCATCAGATTCAATAATGTACAGGCTTAAATCTGCATTTTAAAAAACTGCCATTACATTAGTGCATAATTTATCAAAATTGTAAAAACGATTCTGCATAACTTAGGAGAATTTAATATCTAGTACATCAGCTGAAAGACTTAGGCACTTGGTTATATTTTTAATTAATTACTTCAACAAGTAGCCTGTGTGTAAATATTAATAAAGCAGAAACTATTTTTGAAAAATGGAAAATCAAAAAAATTAAATGCTACAGATAAAAGCACTGCACCACACTCCTACATATAATGCAGTAAAGAAAGCTAGTATATAACCCTGTAAAATTCTATGGTAAGAAAGTCTAACTCCACTCTTCAAAATTAAAAAAAAAAAAAAAGAAAAAAGAAAGAAAGAAAAGAAAAAAGAAAAAAAAAATTCATGCAAAGTCCCATGAAAAAGATAAATAAAGCAGCTGGAATGAGATGGAAATTTCTCTCAGTGAAACATAAAATAGAAATAAATAAGTTAATTAAGTCTACTTTCACTAGATGTATCATTGTAGGATCCTGCTAGTTTAATAACTGAGTTGTTAATTTTCTATAGAAGCCATTTAAGTAGGAAATGGCTCAGTTACTGCACCGGATTGCTACAAACTCATAAAAAGCTGCTTGAAGCTTAAGTTAAATGTTGTCCAAATTCCAATCACTTCTGGAAAGTGAACGTATTACCCTAGTAAAGTAAATTTTCTTTTTTTTTTTTTCATAATGCTAATAATGCAAGAGGGCTTGAAGTATCAAAGAGTCCACAGGAAATGGATGCCCCCAGTAATATCTTTTTTTTAAAAAAAATATACATTATATAATATATATTATATATATAAAAAGCTAGTGTAAATGCTTCCATGGTGTGGTCACAAATTTGAAAGATGAACCTCCTTTCAGCTGTTAACCATCTTCCCATTTGCAACAGGTTTTAAAAAGTCATTTTTATCTTCGGACATAACATGAGTTTTCAGAATGAGGCTGCCAACACTGACCGATGTGGTGATGGGGAGGCAACTTGCATTGCTAATAGACACTGGAAGTGGCTGGTTAAAGCAAGAAGTTACCGGCAGAATTGTTTTTTGCTCCTCCCTGAGAGAAAATAAATGACAATGAAAACAAATTAGCTTTAAGTGAAAACTTTTTAAGAATAACCATATAGGCTTAATGAAATTTATATCAAACTTTCAAGATTCCCTAGCAAAAAGCAAGTCTTCTTTATCAATAAAAAGTATCAGAAATCATTAAAAAAAGTCCCACTTTCCAAAAAAATACAATAAAAAATTAAAATACTGATTAGTTTAAGGCCATAGAAACTGTCAGTTTCAAGATTAAACTCATATTTTGGGCAGAAATTATACAAAATGGCAATATGGTATCCAAGAAAATTTTAAAATGATTTTAAAAACAAGAAACACTTCATTTAGGTTCTAATTCTCCATTCTGTAGCCTAGAAGCATGGCCAAACTGAAGACTAACCTAGTATTGGAGCACAAACTAACTTTTATCCCGATAAAAAAAACAAGTTTCATGTTACTACAATGGACTACTCTGTTAGTTCAAATTCACCTTTTCCCCTAAAAATCCAGACTGATCAAAAATCACTACCCTATTATATAAAGTTCTTTTCTCATAACATGAAGCAAAAATGAAACTAATACAGTAGCTATTTCTCTATGTATTCATGCCCTGTGCCCACTGGTTATGAATTTTCTGTCTAACACTCACAGAATCACATGATCTTCACCTAAACTCTGTCTCTTCTGCTTTAGTGGCTCCTTCTGGTGCTGCTGGACTGGATGCCCATTTTCAACTGCAGTTCCATTCAGCAACTGATCATTTTGAGAACTGATACCAAGTTGCATGTCCAGGATTTCCTAGGAAAACAAAGTGTTAATCCTTTGGAATCAAAGTAACTTATACTTTCTAATTTCCAATGAACAAAGCCTTCTAAGTAACTGTGGCACTTACTTCAATTTGTTCACTTTGTCCATCAGGTTCATCAGTATCAAGTGCTGAAAGCTCTAACTCAATATCTCTATCAGGCTTAGTATCTGCTGCATCTTCAGTATAATCACTCTGTAAATAAGAAAAATACTAATTTTATATCTGTAGGGTGTCCCTTTAATTTAAAGTGGGAATCCCAATAATTTAACTAAAGAATGAGTTAGGAAATCTAAGACTACAATCTCATTTTTACTATAAATTTTAAGTGTAATCAATAGTCGACCAGAAAAAGGAACACTAAAATGCACTAAAATAATGGTATAAACCAATGGGCTGCAGCAGAGAGCAAATAGCATGAAGCTGAGAGGTTCAGTTTCTGTTTTTTTTTTTTTTTGGTAATATTTAGCCTGATATATTCTAATCTCTGTGTTTTTATTCTTGTGCTTGTGAGACAAGCTCTACCAACTGAGCTACACCCCCAGCCCAGAGGTTCAGTTTCTTTACCTCTCCATTTCTCAGTTCAATCTCCTTGCTTAGAAGATTTAAGGTAAGGTGACGGCCTTCATCCAGGGAATTCCACTTCTGTTGCATGGCAAGAGCATTAGCCTCCCTCTGAAGAAGTAATGAGTTACTCTTGGCCTACACAAGAAGAGAGGAAAACAAACTTAGCTGCTAACTAGAGCTTTCAATCATCATCCTAGGTTTTAAAAATCAAAACTGAGTTATATAGAGCTTACCTGCTGAAGTTCAATGCTCAAAAGGTCTCCAGTACTGGAATGCTTTCTATGACCAGATAAATCAGTAACAATGAATCTATCCCTTTAAAGAGAAATACGTTTATTGTAATAAAATGAAATACATGCAGCAATCAAAGCAATAATGACCATAATATGCTGTATGTGACTGACCAACTCTCAAACTTTCAGTCAATATTCCCAATGTAAACTTTTCTTCAGACATTTATTACATAGCTCAAATTAGCTAAGCATATTTTATGGACAACTCGGGGTAGGTTTTATATTCTGAGGATGCAAACAAGTCTGACAATGGAGAATCCTAAAGAATTAAGAGTAATGTTACCGTTCAATATAGTGCGCTGATGATGTGGCCTCACTGCCATATGAACTCCACCTTGAATCAACAGCATTGACATAAGGGACATAATCTATAGAAAGATAGAAACAATGAATAGAAATATGAAAAATCAGTGTACAGATGTGAATTATACTTTTCAAAAATGATGTGTATTTTATCCCACTAGCTACAAGATCCTGATTAAACCATTTAAATCTAAGTTTACTATGATTATTAAATGGAAGGAAATGTTATTGGTCTCATCGACTGGGGAATAAAAGTACAGAGATTAGAATATATCAAGCTAAATATTAATTAAATGAATTACCCGATACGCTGATGGGCTTAGTTGCACTTCCTTGGGAAGCAGTAGCCTGGACAGGATCCGTAGTGTGGTAACCTGTGCGTGAAGATCGGGAAATTGCACCCCACTTTGAGATGATAGGTCCATCACTAAAGGGAATTATTGGATCTTCTTCTTTTGTCCTTCTCTGAGTTTCAAATAAATGCACTCTTCTCTTAACATCTCCACTGTCCAGGTCCTGCATGAACCAAAGAATATCAATAAAAGACTGCTGGCAATTACTTGAATTAGTGGTACAGTATACGTTATCAAAAGATCTGTAATCAGCTGCTTTTTGGTAAATTTAACACCTGCTGTAGATCTCAATAATAATCCAACAACTATACTAAACCAGAGAACTGTTCATGTACTTTAAACATTAAATGCAATTTATTTCAGACTTACCTAAATATAACCCTGATGCTTACAGAACTACAAAGCAACAGGAAGATAAAACCATTCATTCTAAAACTTGAGTCAACATGCATTATCTATCCCACCCCCAAATTTCCCACCCCAGAAAAATCATACCATTAACACAGCATTTGAATTAGCAATTACATCTTTTGGCTCTGAATCGATGGCATTTATGCAGGAGCCTATGGTACCACAGGACCAGGGAGAATAATGGGAAAGATGATCTTCTTCAAATTTTGTACCACTCACAGTCTCAGAGAACTGATTGGGGAGAGGAGGAGAAAAAAGGAAGACAGTATGAAACTTAAACTTTCAAACTTCTAACTAATATAAAGTAACTATTAAATTAACAATTGTACTTTCAATAACAGCACAGTTTCTTTTTACTTTGTCCTTTAAGTGCTGAGAAGAAACTCCAATATTATCAAAACCAATCAATAAATAAATATTTATAATCTGTTGCAGACATGGAACAGAGTGTGCTAAAAAAATTTAAAAGGCAAAAGAAAATAAATACATAGGCACAGAGATCACAGTCCATGTCTTAAAGTTTATAATTTTCTTAAGAAGAAAACAACATGTGTGAATAAAGGAACATAACTGATAAACCACACAGTACTATATAAAGAACAGAAGGAATTCAAATGTGGCTCCAGAGCTAGAAAAAGAGAAGAATAAATTTTAAAGGTACTATAAAGAACATTAAGGGACCAGAATACTAAATTTGTAAGAATTGTTAAAACGTTAAAATAGGGGCTGGGGTTGTGGTTCAGTGGTAATAGAGCACTTCCCTAGCATTTGTGATGTACTGATGTGATGTTGATACTCAACACCACATTAAAAAAATAAAAAAATAAAATAAAATAAAAATAAAAGGTTAAAATAACTTGTTCCAAGTCATCTTGCTAGCTGATAACAGATCTGAATCTCAGGAAAATACTTATTTCCTAAATCAGTACATAAAAAAATGAAAATATTTTTCTTTTTTATTTTGGTACCAGGGATTGAACCCAGGTGTTAAGTTACACTTGACCACTGAGCCACATCCCCAGCCTCCCCATTCCTTTTTTAAAATTTTGAGACAGGGTCTTACTAAGTTGTGTAGGGCCTTGCCAAATTGCTGAGGATGAATGGGCTGGGGATGTGGCTCAAGCGGTAGCGCACTTGCCTGGCATGCGTGCCGCCCGGGTTTGATCCTCAGCACCACATACAAAACAAAGATGTTGTGTCCACCGAAAAAATAAAAAATAAATATTAAAAAAAAAAATAGTTAAAAAAAAATTGCTGAGGATAACTCTGAAGTTGTGATACGCATGTCTCAGCATCCCAAACCACTGAGATTATAGGCATGTGCCATTAAACCTGGCAAAAACATATTTTTTCTATCAAGCAAGTGGCAGTTCTACTGCTCTGTTGCTAAGATGTTTATCTGCTTTGAGGAAGTGTAAGTTTGGAGAGACAAATTTGAATCTAGTTTAAAAATTGCATGCTTTACTGAAATATTTATGGGCAAAAAAACTGTATCTAGGATGACTTCAAAATAATCCAGTTGGGCAGAGTACAGTGGAGCAAGCTTGTAATCCCCGAAGCTTGGGAAGCTGAAGCAGGAAGATCACAATTCCAAAGCCAGCCCCAGCAAAAGGGAGGCACTAAGCAACTAAGTGAGACCCTGTCTTTAAATAAAATACAAAATGTGGCTCAGTGGTTGAGTGCCCCTAAATTCAATCCCTGGTACTCTCTGCCCCCAAAATCCAGATGGAACAAGTGTGGCTAAGGTGACAGTTGTGGAAGCTGGATGATGGGTAATGATGAGTACATGGAGTTCATTATTCTCTAAATTTGTGTTTGTTTAAAATTTAAAATGAGAAGACTTGGAAAAAAATATTTTATATCAGAACCTCTGGGAGTGGGGAGTAAACTAGAGGAAATGTTTAAAAAAAAATAACTATCTTTCTCTAAATATAATAGTACTAAAAACAGCAGTTTAAACTGAAATCATCCTGGCACAAAAAACTTGTTTTATATTGCCAAGAACAATAATTAACAGTGATGTAATAAGCAATTCTGGACCTCTTGTGAAGAACAGAAAAAAAATGCCTCAGATAAGACTGGGATACAAATACTAGCTACTTATAGGCTGAAAGATCCTTCTCTGAGTAGGAATCTTAATCTATAAAATAAGGATAATACCTGCCCCTTAAGGTTTTTGTGAGAATTAAATAAAATAGCATTGTGAAAATGCTTAGTATAGTGCCTGGAATGAGTAAGTATTCGATGAATGACACATATAAATCTTGATTTTGGGAGGTGCTGGGGTCAAAACCAGGACCTCCAGCATGCTAAGCACCCATCAACTGGGTCTTGGTGTACACCTTAGTGGTAAGGAATATGCAATGCTTTGGGTTTGATCAGTATCACCAAATAAAACAAACAAAAAGCACAGCATAAAAATAAAAACTATACTGCTGAAAAGATCCTGAATTCTTGGTAAAGGACTATGCCTCAATGGTCTTCAGAGTCTCATAATACTTAACTAACCATTGTATGTTTGTTATATGTTGACACTCATTCTGTTTATACACTCACTGTTTATTGAACTAAATTCAACTGCACACCAAACCACTGCAAAATATCCCAAATAGCTAGCCCTGATTTGAATAATTTGAAGTCAGCTATTTGACTGATCCCACAAATCAAGTGATTAAAACCTTTCTTACATCTGTGCGGAAGTCTACACTGAATAGAGGAGAAGGTGGTGTTGGTGACTGTGTTGCAACAGGAAGAGTTGAAGAGACAGGTGCTTTCTGAGTGTGGTACTGTGCCCACTGATCTGGCTTTCTTCGTATCTGCTCCTCGCAACTGGTTTTCAAATGACCACATGGTTCCTAAGTGGGGGATAAAAGAAACAATCTTGATCATCTAGGGAGTAGTGAATAAATTCAACTATGCTCTGTGAAAATAATGTAAACAGTTTATGATATTGCTGGGACAAGAAAAAAATAAAGTTAAAAAAAAAAAAAGCAGGAAAGTCTCCTAGTCTATTCTCCACACTTAACAGAAAGTTTAATATTTATTCAACTAATATTAAGTGAAATCTGAGCACTTTTTAGTAGTGAAGTCATTTGTATATACATAGATACTGAAAAAAAAAGGCTCTGTCCTTATATTTGAGATCACTTTTTATCTTCCTATCAGTTTCCTATTGGAACATATTTATTGAGCATGTGCCATATATATTAGGCCTAGTACTAAGGGCTTTGTTTTTCTAATTTAATTCTCACAATAGCCTTATGAGGTAGGTACTATTATTTCTACCAAACAGAAGAAAAAACTGAAGTATAGGGAGGTCAAGTAACTTTTGTAAGTCAAGCAATTACTAAGAGAAGTCAGGAGTCTGGGTGGTTTGACTCCATACACTGGCTCTTTTTCTACACTACAGTAGCATTTCTATTTCCATTATCACTTACCCTTGGTAAAGGCACCGTCGTCCTTGGCTCACTTGGTGGCTGACAAGCCACTGAATAATATCCATCTAACGAGTTATATCTTTCCCTTAAAGATGTCTGATAGACAGATGAGTGCATCACATCCATTGGAGGTAAAGAATTGCTTCTAATAATGTCATCTCGTTGGTACATGGGTGGACGCCAGATGCGCCTGCTGTCGTACACAGGAGCATACATTCCAGAAGGTACTGGAGGAACTGGTCCATACTGCTGAGGAGGAGGAGGTTGGTAAGGAGAAGAATTCATTCGATCTCGAGGGGAAAATGTACTGTAATGATCGGCATATGGCATGGAAGCAGGTGGGAGGGAGGACTCTGGAACATTATTGGACCTCACAAAGCGAGGAACACAGGGAGCCACACCAGCTGGTACCGTTGGAGGTGGTGGGTAGTATCCTTGAAAATTGGAAAGAGGAATATTTAATGTTATCTTAGTAAAATTCAACATTTTATAATGGTTTAAACTAAAGTAGCCTTTAATCAGAGGAAATATAATAGTAAGCACTGTTATTTACTTGTAAAGAAGCTACACATTTTCAAGATACCATTATATGAAAATCATTAACAGTTAACAGTTTGTTAAACTGCTCCTTAAAAACATCTGACAGAGCTATTAACAGATGGCTGATAGATTTCCTTTAGGGTAGCCACTGCTATAGATTTTCAATTATTACATCATTGAATCTTATTAAACATTTTGGGAGCAGAGGTCAAAGACTTCTTATAAAATCCATATAAATTGTTCACTTTCTTTTCAAAATTGTATATAAGCAACATAAGTAATATAATTTGCATATCATTTCAGGGAATTTACAGAATGCCTTGAAAAGTTATTCATGGGACTCTATTTGATTGGTATCTTGATATTCACATGCAGAAGAACATGAAACCAGATCCCTAACTCTAACTAGTCTAAAAATCAACTCAAAATGTACGAAAGACTTAACTATGAAAGTGCCAAAAGAAAACAAAGGGGAAATGCTTTAGGACATTGGAATGAGCAAGGATTTATAGAATGAGAGAAAATATTTATAAAATTTATATCTGAGAGAGGGTTAATATCCAGAATATAAAAGGTATCAGAATATTTAATAGTAAAACAAATTACCCAAAAATATAAGCAATAGACCCAAATAAACACTTTTCAAAAGAAGACACACAAATGGACAACATGTATGTGCAGAAATGCTCAACATCACTAATAATCAGGAAAACACAAACTCACTCCAGTCAGAATGGCTATTATCAAAAACGCTAACCATAAGCAAGTGCTAGTGAGGAAGTGGAGAACAGGGAACCCTTGTACAGGTTAGCGAGAAAGTAAATTAGTATAGTCATTATGAAAAACAGTATAATAGTTACTTAAATAATTAAAAATAGAAGTATCATATGATCCAGAAATCCTACTACTTGGTATTATATTCAAGGAAAGGAAATTAATACGTGGAAGAGACCTCTGCACTCCCTGTTTATTGCAGCACTATTCACAATAGCCAATAAATGGAAACAACCTAAGTGCCCAACAACCAATGAACAGATTAAGAAAATGTGGTAATATGCACAGTGGAATACTTTTCAGCCATAAAAAGGATAAAATCCTGCCATGTGTGACAACATGGATGGAACTGGAAATCATAATGTTAAGTCACATAACCTAAGCACAGAAAACCAAGTATTGCAAGATCTCACTCATACATGGAATCTAAATAATTGATCTCATATATGGTGGTTACCATACTTTCTCCAGAGGTTAGGGAGAGTAGGGGGAAGAGAGAGATGGGGTTACACTTAGTTAGGAGTAAGAAGTTCTGGCGTGTTACAGCACAGTAGGGTGACTATAGATACCAATTATGTACTACACATATTTCAAAGAGCTAGAAGAAAGGATTTTGGGTGACTATAGATATTAACTATGTACTAGATATATTTCAAAAAGCTAGAAGAAAGAATTTTTGAATGTTTTCATCATAAAGAAACGATATATATTTAAGGAGATGGGTATGTTTAACCTGATTTAAACCTTAATACAATGTAAACACATTATCAATATATCACATGGTACTCCATTAATATATATAATTTTTATGTTTTTGTATCACTTACTAAAAAGAAAGGAAACAAAACAGGCATAGACTAAAGGGTGGCAGAATACCATGATGTATAACTTTTTGTATAAGGATTATTTTGAGCTGAAGACAAATGAAAAGCAGCAAAACCAAGAAAAAAGATCTCTGTCTTCTTACTATATGCCTAAACACAGTATATAACATTTCTAACTGTAATCACCAGAGACAATTTTAGATTCTTATTGGCCTGAAGGTGGCACCATGGGAACCATAAAAACCTTAGTGACTACCCCTTATCCTCCAGTAGTTCCCCCATTTATCTAGCTTCCCACAATGTGCCACACTAGAAATTTGAAGTCCTTTTCCTTTTTATTTTGGTGGTACTAGAGACTGAAGCCATAGAACCTCTACCAAAGAGCCACTCTGCCAGCCCTTTTTATTTTGAGACAGTATCTTGCTAAGTTGTTGAGGCTGGCCTGAATCTCTGATTATAGGCATGCATTTGGATACTGGGCTCCTTTTCTTTTCTCTTGTCAGTTTTCTAGTTTTATTGTTCTTTGGTTAAGATGACATATAAGCTCATGTTTTAACCACCCCTTTGAATTACCTATCATTGAGTCTCTTCCTGTGTATTCACAACACATATGTTAATGAAAATCTATATACTGGCATCTAGAATCAAAGATTTTTACATCAGGGAGAAAACTTACAGGTCATATTAACGTCAAAAAGATTAACTTTTTAATGCAAACATTCTAGGAAAATATAAATTATTCACTCATTTATTATAACAAATGTTAGATGACAGTTTTTTTTTTTCTTAGAATTATCTAAAATTACTTACCTGTCTGTGGGTACTGTGGGACTTCAAAAGGTATCTGAGTCCTTGGATCTTGAAAATACTGAATGTTTTCAGAATGCTGAGGGTATACTGGTACTCTAGTGAGAAATGGGCTGGATTTTGGAGGCACAGAATTCAGTTCTGTTCCAACATTAGAGGGCCCAGCTGAGGTAGCAGTTATGTTACTTACAGGAGTCTTGGGTGGAGAACCAATTTTACTGGAGAGAAAATATAACAAAGGGCAGAGGGTAAATCACTATCTATGACTGTTAAGTCTTCCTCTGTAGAAATTTTTCATAAACTTAAAACAGTGAAGCTATTAATAGAAAACACTTCAGATATTTCCAGTGATAAATAAAGGCAAAGATTTTCACTATCACCTTATACTGTTAATTTACAAGATTATAGTAACATCTTATATTCTGGTGTGGGAAACAAGAAATGAAAACAAATACTAGGCAATATGGTGACTCATCAGTCCCTTTTACGCCTTTTATTTTATTTTTTTGACTTCTTTTTTTTTTATTTTTTATTGGTTGTTCACAACCTTTTACGCCTTTTAAACAAAGATTTTTCCTAAAGGAAATTAAAAAAAAAATTAAAAAAATTCTGTTTAATAAAGTTCCCAAGAAAAACATCAGTCAACCAGTAGAATTCTTTGGGACAAATAAGACAGATGTAGTAAGCAAGAGTTGTTCTCTATTAAGGATTAGATTAGCTGAAATGTAATATAAGAGAATTATTTGTCTGTTTTGTTAACCCTCATATCCCTGGCACCTAGAACAAGAGGTAGTAAACACTTGTTGGACAGATAAAATAACTCCTGGCACACAGTAGATACTCAGTAAGCATCTGCTGAATGAATGAAATGCCAATGAAATAACTCATTAAACCGATGCAAAATACTCAAGCCTTTTACCTTGTTTTAAACAAAACAGAATTTTCTGGATTGAGTACCAAGTAATCAGCTGAGACCATCTTATCATAGCTTGTTACCCTTTAAGAAGTCAAACTTCAACAAAGCTATTTTTAAATATGTGGTGACTCAAGAAAATGATCTTGTTATTAAGAAGGAATTCAGAATATTGGCTCCCAATCAGATTTAAGAGGATTTCCCCTTAAATTAGAAAAGTCCCTTTAATGCTCAAATATAAACAACAAAGTGTATAGACTGTCTTTAAGCCTAGCATGGTAGATTAGCCTAGTAGATGTTTATTTCTATGTATAATTATATCTTAAAGTGTAGAAAATAGGATGGGTATGATGACACATGCCTGCCATCTCAGCAGCTGGGAAGGTCAAGGCAGAAAGACTGCAAGTTCAAAACCAGCCTCAGCAATTTGGTGAAGTTCTAAGCAACTCAGAAAGATTATGTCTATAAATAAAATATAAAAAAGGGTTTGGGATGTGGCTCAGTGGTTAATCGCCACTGGGTTCAATCCCAGGTACCAAAAAAAAAAAAAAAAAAAGTAGAAAATAGAGCTGGGGGTAATAGCTCAGTGGTAAGGCCCTGGGTTCAGTCCCTAGCACTATCTAAAAAAAAAAAAAAAGGGAGGAAAAGGTAGAAAATAAATAAGGAAATGTGGGTAAAACAGTAAATACAAATATCTCGGCTTGAAGTTTAAAGATATTTTAGGGTTTTGTTTATTCTTTAAGTTAAACACAAAGCAATAGGAAATGATTAGAATTTCCTTTTAATAATAATAACAACATTTACAGAACAGTAACTGAATACATTTTAGGCACTACACTAAGTGTTCTACATAGATAATCTGGTCGTTCCATGTCAAAATGTTATATACTAAAAATCTGAATTAGTACTTTGAAATGGCAAATAAGATTTATCATAAAAAAAGGTAAATGTAACCTCAGAAAAGCATTGAAGCTATCCCCAAAATCCAGACTTCAGGACAAAGCTAATTAATCTTCAGCTACATACTAGTCAGGGAGATAGATGATTAGTTTCATTTCACATAAATGAAATTATAAGTGGTAATTAGTTTTATCCTAGATAATTTCTAGGATACTAGGTTTTCCTTCCAAACAATTCCCCTTATAACTCCATGTTTTTGCTTGTGTTGCTTCCTCTATCCACAAAGATCTTCCTGCTTGCTATGCATACTTTTAGAACTAGTTCAGGTGTTGTCACTTTACCTCTAAAAGTCTTCCACAATATCTCCCTGTAGAATTAGTTATCCTTAGATGGAGGGAAGTGAAGGGAGGGGAGGATGTATGGGGGTAGAAAAGATAATAGAATGAATCAGACAGACATTATTACCCTATTGACCAGTGGGATTCTACATCATGTACAACCAGAAGAATGAGAAATTATACTCCATCTATATATGATGTATCAAAGTGTATTTTACTAATTAGAACAAGTAAAAAAAAATTAGTTATCCTTTTTCCTGTGTTCCAATAACAACTGGAATACAAATTTCATTGCAGAACTTTTCAGATTATATTATATGATATATATTTACATGTCCATCTCCCAGACTACACTGGAAGACCTCTGGAGGCAAGAGTATATCCACAGCTCATTTTCATTAGCTACACTAGCTGGCCTGGTATTTAGCACTTATTAGGTGACCCATAATAAATGAAGGAAAAATAAGGGATTTATTTACTTATATTTATTTATTATCAGCAGCTTTTTCACTGTTAATGTACTTTTTAAAAAATTGAGATATAGGGGCCAGGGAGATAGTTCAGTGGTAAAGTATCACAAAGAAAAATAAACTAAAAATTGATCTATAATTCACCCTTCGAAGGTGTGCAATTCATTGGCTTTTGGAACATTCCCAAGATTTTCCAACTATCACCACTATTTAATTCTGAAATATTTTCATCATTCTCTAGAGAAACTTGACACATTAACATTCAATTCCCATTCCAATACTACCCTATGTCCACAGCCACCATTAATCTATTTTATGTTTCTATGGATTTTCACATAAATGAAATTATAAGTGGTGTTTTATATCCAACTTCTTTCACTTAGCAAAATGTGGATTCACCCATTCTATAACACACAATAGTACTTTTCTTGATGAACGATCTTCCACTGTATGGATATAAAATGTTTTACTTTAACCTTGCCAAAACCCTTTAAAAATCAATTTCCCAAACATATGCAATATAAGGATCTTATAATCCAACATCAATCTAGCTATCTAATTTTACACCAATTCCTAATATAAACTTTTATTTCTAAAAGGCTGGTCTCCTCAGTATTCCATATAACTTAACCCATTTTATTGTTTGTCTAAAATCTGCTCCCATGTTTCTCCCAGCAATATAAAATTTCCTAACCTTTAATCCCCCTCCAGTGTGCTTCATTTGTGTAAATACTGTCTCTACAACAACAGCATCATAAATCCCTTAAAGGCAGAGATATCTTATGTCTCAGGTATTTCCAACTGTGCTAAAAATGGAATGCACAATAAGTATACAGATAATATTTACTAGACAATATTTTTGATACATATTTTTGTAAGATATCTCAGTGAAGATCATAAGGGTCCTTTAACAAACAATTTCCCTATCATATGCAAAAGTAGAGAATTATTACTTTTTACCTATTTACCCTTTGTTAGATGAAATGAGCAGCAGTTTACTGTGTGCATAGCACAGTATAGTACTCATGTAATAGATGCTGACAGACTTCATGGGCAAAAAATCTGAAAATACTTTAACTCAGATTTGAAACCTCAAAAGAATACCAAGGTATGAGATTTTAGAATTAGAAATAACTTTTCAAATCATATGCAGTTTTAAAAGTTTTTTTCTTTGTTGTACTGGGGATTGAACCCAGAGTCTAGGAAAGTGCTCTACCACTGAGCAACATACCACCCAGACCTAACACTTCTTTTCTCTCTCTCTCTCTCTCATATGTGGGACTGAATCCAGGGGATACATCTGCAATCCTTTTAATTTTTACCTTGAGAAAGGGTGTAATTAAATTGTCGAGAGTGGCCTGGAACTTGTGATTCTCCTGTCTCAGCCTCCCCAGTTGCTAGAATTATAGGGGTGCACCACTGCACCTGGCTTAAAACATTTTTATTAAGGCAACAAAACCTTTTGCTAAATCAATCTCATGCTGACACCCAACAACAATAATGCTGGTAAAAATAATAATGATGAGGCAGATGTTCATTGAGTGCTTAATAACCATAAGATACAGTTTAAAGTACACAAAGCAGTAAACTCATCTAATTCTCATAACCAATATATGAAGTAGGTGTTCTTTTATAATGTGTGTGGGTGATGTGTGTTTGTGCATGCGTGTATGTATATAGCTGGGAATTGAGCCCAGGGCCTAGTAAATGCTGGGCATATGTTCCACCCCAGTCCATCGAGTTTTGCTACAAAGATTCCCCTCTTTCTTTATTACTATGCATCATTGTAAAGTATGAAGTAGAAGTGCTTTGATTTAAATAGGGCTAGAGGCTGAGCCTCTTACCTGTTTAGGTTTCTACTTAGTTCCTTTCTGGTACCTCTATGGCATCATTCCTGAAGTTCAAGGAAATATGGTATGAAAAACCCATTTCTGGTCCAACTTCCTTTAGTGTATAGTTGAGGAAACAAAACTAGGAGTTGAAGTGACTTTCCAAGTTTACAGAGCTATTCAATTGTACAGCCATGATTAAAACGCAAATTTTTCTTTCTATATAAAAACTCTAATTAACTGCTGTTCTTCGGGATTAAAAAAAAAAGTACTCAGGCATTTCTAAAAAGGATAAAGAAGTCTTATTAAGCCTTTTACCTAATACCTACTTTTCAGTTACAGACTCTGCAGAGGGCCCAGCAGCATTCTGACCATTAGTGCCAACCTTCCCCACTTTCTTCACAGACTCCAGAGCTCTTAAAGTACTGTCAGTACTACGTGGGATTAGCTGGGAAACACTGTTTTCTGCATTTGATATTCCATTTGTACTTGGAACAATTTTCCCGGTTGTTTCAGTACTTCCTATGACAGAAATGACATTTCCGGCTGTGGTTGTGACAGTGTTGTTTACACCAACTTTATTTAGAAGAGGAAACGTTCTTACAGTTGCATTGATCTTTTTGTTCCTTAATCGATACCTGTTTAAAAACAACATTGGTGAATATCGTTCTAAATCTTATGCTAAGGAAGAAAAAGGCAATGGGAAATATGTTTAAAAAGAAAACAGTTTTGAAAAGTTTCTTTAGCTAAATATCAAATAGTCTATACCAAATGTACTGTTACAAATGTGACACATGAAAATATAGATACTATTTATATATGTCTATAATGTACATATATACATAGACACAAAAGTAATATAGCAACCAAGGTACACATGTATTCAGAGAACAATTTTTATTGAGTGGAAAGAAAATGCTTGAAGATCTTATATAATTGAAATATAAAGTAAAATATGTAAAACCAACAAGAACCAGCACCAAATTTGATTGGGAAACACAGAATGAAGAGGAAAGACATATAAGAATTGAAAGCATCCTTCAGTTATTTGGGAGGCTAAGTCAGGAGGATCTGAAGTTTGAGGCCAGCCTTGGCAATTTAGCAAGACCCTGTCTCTAAAAACAAAAGTCTCACTAAATTGCACAGTCTGGTTCCAAACTTGTGATCCTCTTGCCTCAGACTCCTGAGTCAATGGGATTGCAGCTAACACCAAACGCAGCCACAAAACTCAATTTTTTATCGGGGGTTGGGGTGGAGGGGTTTGTTACCAGGGATTTTTATCGTATTTAGAGAGACAGAGTCTCACTGAGTTGCTTAGGACTTTGCTAAGTTGCTGAGGCTAGCTTTGAACTTGAGATCCTCCTGCCTCAGTCTCCCATCAAGCTGCAGGGAGTACAGGCATGTGTTACTGTGCCTAGCCCAAAACTCATTCTTTTTTTTTTTTTTTGGTAGGGGGGATTGAACTCAGGGGCATTTGACCACTGAGCCACATTCCCAGCCCTATTTTATTTACAGATAGGGTCTCACTGAGTTGCTTAGTGCCTCACTTTTGCTGAGGCTGGCTTTGAGCCTGCAATCCTCCTGCCTCAGCCTCCTGAGCCACTGGGATTACAGGTGTGCACCACTATGCCCAGCTCTCTTCAATATTTTTAAGTGGTGAGAAATTAAGTTTTATATGAATGAAAAGAAGTCTACATACATTTGGGGTCATCATTATGTCTAAATGTGATATTAATATTATGCATAAATATAGTAATTTAATATAGTTTTAGTGACAAGCAATGCTTTCATAATAGTTTCCCTTTTAGTCCTTCAAGATCTATCAACAGCTTCATTATTCAATCCTTTCTCTTTCGGTCTCACCATATACATACACTGATAGGGAAGATGAAGCTTAATAAAAGACAAGGGCTCCCAGAACAGGCTGGCTGAAGGTGGAATAATAGGCACATGAAGTTTATAACAAAACAAAACAAAAAAAGATGAAACACAATAAAAACAAGGTACAGTGGCGCATGCCTGTAATTCCAGCGACTTGGGAATGAAGGTGGGTTCAAAGCCAGCTTCATTAATTTAGTGAGATCCTTAGAAACTTAAGGAGTCCCTGTCCCCACCAAAAGGGGATAGGGGTAGGGTGAAAATGTTAAAAAAAAAAGCACATCTGAGTTCAATCCCAGTACTATAAGAAGACTAGTGATGGCCAATTTATATGTCATTGCTAAACACTGGGGGAACCAATAATTACTTCTCAGAGGAGGAGGAACATGAGCAGACCTATATTTCAAAGGCAATTTGATGGCATGAAGAGGTCAGAAACCCCTGTGCTTTCCAACATGCTTTCTGAAGGCTGCTTATTCTTCTCTTCCAATTTCTTACACAAAATGCTCAATTGTGCCTTGCTATCCATACTCAAATGACAATTTCAGATATTCATAAGGTGGTTAAGCAAGCAAAAAATAAAAGTATTGTATGTGAATTCACAAAAAACAGAAATTAGGAGAAGTCAAAACTTAACCAAGTGTGGAAAACTGAGTGAGGAGTCAGGGTTCATAATGAACTTCTAGCATGTGGGCAGCTAAAGGGTGAAACAGAATTTGCAGTTCATACTTGAGAAACCCAACTGCTTCCTATTTTTAAATCATCCGTAAGTTCCTTCAAGTACTTAGAAGTACTCTCATCTTAGAATCCAATATCTACCATTAATTCCTCTCTTGCCTGTTCCCAAGCAGAGCAGTTAAATGTTGGTGGAGAAAAAAGGTGCAATATGCTTATAGATTCTAGTTCAAAATTATGAACTATTTAAAATGGCCAAGCAATTCATCAATACATTTCTTTACTAAATCTACTTTTCTACATCTAACAACCTTTTCCATTCCACCCTCCAGAGTGATATTGTATATTGTATGTGATATTGTATCCCTCCTAACAAAGAAAAGAGATGAATCGAGAATTATCTTACTATAACCAATTCTACTAACCTTCCTATATCTATAATCAAGCACTCTTTCTAAGAAAGGGACATAGAGCTCCTGTTCCTAAAGCAAATCTTTCCACTTGTGCCTCACTTATGTGTCTCAAGACGATTTGTCTCCTCATAGACTTCAATTCTGTAACTATCTTTCTATTTATTTCATTATAATGTCTACTTAAGACAGTATGCTTTCTATTTATTTGTTTTATATTAGCCCCTTCTACATCAATATAAGCCCTGTGAGGATAAGGATTTTGCCTTTCTTATGCACCTCTCCATCTTTAGCACATAATATAGTGTCTCAAGCATACTAAATGCTCAATAAATACTTCTTGCATTAATGTGGAGTAAGCTTCAAACTTTGTATGACCAAAAGAACTACTGATTTTCTGTCTCAAAGCATTTCACATCTCAGTATCACTCAATAATGCAGGATACAAACATTTTTCTTTATAATCCACATTCAATCTGTCCATCTTGTAAGCTCTATTTCTAATATATATCTCAAATATTAATACTTTTCATCAATTCCAATACTATAGTCCTAGGATTATGCTATAAGTCTTGCACTTGGCCCACTGCAGAAGTTTAACTGGTCTCCATCCATATAGACATCAGAATGACATCTCTTTCTTTCTCTTTTTTGGTACCAGGGATTGAACTAAGGGCACAAAACCATCCAGCCACATCCTCAGTCCTATTTTGTATTTTATTTAGAGACAGGGTCTCACTAAGTTGCTTAGTACCTCATTGTTGCTGAGGCTGGCTTTGAACTCAAGATCCTCCTGCCTCAGCCTCCTAAGCTGCTGAGATTATAGGCATGTACCATCTTGCCCAGCCAGAGTGACATTTCTTAGACAAAATTAAAATCTCATCATTCTATTCGAATAAAATCCTATAATGGCTACCTGTTGCAATCAGAATAAAATCCATTGTCTTTGCTGTAGCTCACCAAACTACTGAAATGTATTATTTACATGTTACTGTTCCTGTTTCCCCACTTAGAAGCACTTCAGACAGTACCAAGGCCATAAAAACCTTTTTAAATGAGTTAGGTGATTCCAGATTTTTGACACTTTTCAGAATTGCAACAATTCTTGGGAATAGGTTTCTAATATACTTTTAATAAAACATATCCACTTAAATATTTATTCTAAAGAGGGATTGTTGGGCATTTACATTTTATATGGTTAGAGGGGTATGTAGTAGAGAAAGCAAGCAAGGGTAAAATTAAGTCGAATATATATTTGTTAAGCTTTTGGTGTGTTATGTGAACTAAGATAAAAGAACTTGTCAAAAATCTGTGAGATTAGCAACGTAAATTTTTTAAATCAAGATGATACAGAAACATCGCCTCATTCTCTAGTCCTTTGTATGACTCCTATTTGTGAAGCTGTCTGGAAATAAGAAATAGGAACTGTAGATTATTTTATTTTTGACATAAACATTTTGAGTTTATTCAGATATTTGGTAGATTCAAGAAATATAAAGATAGATAAATGAAGATAAATGAAGCACACAGGTAAGTAACACTTGCAATACAGACATTTTATAAAAACTAGTTATAATTACTACAAATGGAGTGTTGCTATGGTTTGAACATGTCTGTCAAAGTTCATGTGTTGGTAACTTAATCCCCAATGCAACAATGTTGAGAGGAGGGATCTTTAAGAGATGATTATGTCATAAGGTCTCTGCCCTTAAGAATGAATTCATGCTTCTGGGCATGGTAGAGCACTACTGTAATCCCAGTCTAAGGCAGGAGGTTCCCAAGTTCAAGGCTAGCTTCAGCAACTTAGGAAGGCCCTGGGCAACTTGCTGAAACCCTGTCTCAAAAAAGACTGGGGATGACGTAGCTCAGTGGTTAAACTCCCCTCAGTTCAATCCCTGGTATCATTAAAAAAAAAGAAAAAGAAAAAGAAAAGAAAAGTAAAGTTAATGTCAATACCACAGGAGTGGTTTCCTGATAAAACCCGATAAATGAGCAAGTTCAATCTCCTTTTGCCTTCCACCATGGGATGATGCGAGAGACCCGTAGCAGACGTGTCCCCTTAATCTTAAAGACTTCCCAACCTCTAAAACAGTGAGCCAAATAAATTTATGTTTATATAAATTATCCAGTCTATGAAAATAATAGAACACTAAAGAAAAAAACTATAGAAGACACTGAAAGAGGGAAAGACCTCCTATGTTCTTAGATAGGCAGAATTAATATTGTTAAAATGGCCATATCACCAAAACCAATCTACAGATTCAATGTAATATCCATCAAGGTACCAATGACATTATTCACAGAACTAGAAAAAATAGTCCATTCATATGGAAAGAAAAAAGACACAAAATATCCAAAGCAATTCTAAGCAAACAAACAAATTAAAAAAATGCTGGAGGCATCACAATACCGAACTTTAAATTGTACTACAGAGCTATAGTAATAAACTACACAGTACCAGCATGAAACAAACAGTCACATAAATTAAGGGAACAACAGAGACAAATCCACATAGATACAGTCATTTTATCCTTGACAAAGGTAGCAAAAACTTATGGAGAAAAGATAGCCTTTTTGGGTTGTTGTTGTTTTTGGTACTGGGGATTGAATTCAGGGGCACTCAACCACGAAGCCATATCACCAGCCCAATTTTTGTATTTTCTTTAGAGATAGAATCTCACTGAGTTGCTTAGTATCTAGCTAAATTGCTGAGGCTGGCTTTGAACCTGAGATCCTCTTGCCTCCGCCTCCCAACCTCAAAAGGTAGCCTTTTAAACAAATGGTGCTGAAAAAATTGGCTAATTATATATAGATGAATGAGACTAACCCTTATCTCTCATCCTGCACAAAAGTATACTCAAAATGGATCAAAGACCTAGGAATTAGACCAAAAACTTAGCAAATGCTTGAAGAAACATAGGGTCAACATTCCAACACACAGGCACAGGCAACAACTTCCTCAATAGGACACTTAAAGCTCAGGAAATAATACCAAGATATGACAGAATCAAATTTAAAAGCTTCTGCACATCAAAGGAAACAATTAAGAACATGAAAAATAAGTCCACAGAATGAGAAAAATCTTTGCCATGTACTCTTCTGACAAAGGATTAATAACTAGAATACAAAAAGAACATAAAGAACTTAAACACCAAAACAAACAAAAACCTGAGTCAATAAATGGGCACATGAACTAAACAGACATTTTTCAAAAGAAAAAAAAATAACAATAGCCAACAAATATCTACAAAATGTTCAACATTTTTAGCAATCAGGGAAATGCACATCAAAACTATACTAAGATTTCATCTCACTCCATTTAAAATGGTAGCCATCAAGAACAAAATAAAAATAAATGCTGGCAAGGGTATGGGGGAAAAGGAACACTTGTATACTCTCAGTGGACTGTAAATTAGCACAACCACCATGGAGGTTCCTCAAAAGAATAGAATGGAACCACAATATGACACAGGTCTACAATTCAGTGGTATTTATCCAAAAGAATTAAAATCAGCATACTACAATAACATATGCTTACTCATGCAGTACAACTAAACAACAGTCAAATTTAGAAATAGTATAGGTGTCTGTCAACAGATGAATAAATAAAGAAAATGTGTTATATATACACAATGGAGTTTTAGTTGGTCATAGGAACAAAATTATGTCTTTTGCAGGAAAATACATGAAACTCAAGGGCATTCATTATGTTAAGCAAAATGAATCAAACTCCTTGAAAGTCAAGGGTCCTATGTTTTCTCTCATATATGGAAGCTAGAGGAAAAAAAAAAGTGTGTGTGGGGGGCAGTCTCATGAAAATAAAAGGGAGACCAGTAGAGTACAGAAAGGGGACTCCAGGGAGGAAGGAGGGAAAAGAGAGGGGAGGTATTGAGGCATGAAAACCACCAAATATCCAGTCTATAGCATTCTGTTATAAAAGTATGAAACCAGTAAGACAAATGCCATAGCAGCACAGTAAAGAGAACAACTAATATTGCCTAGGTAAGTTAGGGAAGTCTGTGGAGGGAAGATGATACCTAAATATGATAAGAAACAGTTCTCCAGAGAGAAAAGACAGAAAAGCACACAATATAGAGGGAACAACATGTGGAAGATTGAACAGTGAAAGAAATCATATGGTAGTCAGCAGTAATTAACTGGATGCACTAAAATTATCCATTATGTATCTACCATGTTTGAGCCCTGGGTTCAATCCCAGCACTGCAAAACAACAAAACAACACCCCTCCCCCACAAAAAAGTAAAATCCAAAAAACAATCTATATCTGTATCTATCTATTTCTAAAAGGCAAAGCTTGAAAGTCAGGTTGGACCAAATTCTGTGATGTACTGAGGAATAAACTAAGAATTTAAAGTAGAAGATAAAAATGACACATCTTTTAGAAAGAAAATCTTGGTAGAAACAGAAAAGACGAGACATAGAGAAATGTTACTAAAAAACTAATTAACCACTAGGGTACTTAACACTGAGCTAAACCCCCAGATCTTTTTATTTTTAATTATGAAACAGAGTCTCAAATTGCAGAGGCTGGATTTGAACTTGTGATCTCTCTGCCTCAACATCCAGAATCACTGATATTCCAGATGTGCACCACTGCATCCAGTATAATTTGACTATTTTTATTATTAATAAATTTATTACTACATTAAAAGTTTTGTAAGTGATAATGAAGTTCTGAACTAGGTTCTGGGGATAGAGTAGCAAGCAAGCTTGAAAATATGAGAAGTATAAAAGATTTTCAGATGGGGCACTGGTTGAGGGTGGAATGACAATGAAATAAGTTTCCTCTCGGATGTTTTAGGACTAAGCAAGGTCCTCTCAAGATCTTTCTATTTGAGCTAAAATGCTTTATTTCAGATATGGATATCTGAATTTTATCTCCCAGAATCTTAAAAAATTATCAATGTGAAATTCTCTATACAGAGTTAGACTGGGTGCATACAGCTTCTTTTTTTTTCTTTGGCTCTTTAAAGTGAGGGGGAAAAAAATCAAGAGAAGCATGTTTTTGCTCTTGTTTTTTTTTTTTTGCACACAAACATAATCTTCTCTATCATGCCACTGCTACTGGAGAGCTCATTAAGTGCACGGCTCAGTGATAGCCAGGGAGGAAAGGAGACAACAAAAAACAACATATAGTCCATGGAGCTTACACTTAGTTAAGTAAGGTAAGCAAAGACTCAATGAATAGATTAAAGGTTGGATAATTATAGCATGTGGGCCAAAATTGCTTGTTTTTATAAATAAGGCTTATAACCATGCTTTTTATTTTTTCTAATTAAATTAAATTAGGTTAAATTGTGGTATTGGAAATTGAACCCAGGGCTGCTCTACCATGAATCTATGTTTCTAGCCCTTTCTATTTTGAAACAGGATCTTACTAAGTTAACCCAAGCTGGCCTCAAACTCATGATCCTCCTGCCTCAGCCTCTCAAGTAGCTGGAATTACAGGTAAGTGCCACCATACCAATTTTACATATTGTATATGGAGGCTTTTTTCTTGCAATTCATAGTTGAATGGTTCTAACAGAAGTTGCATGGCTCTGCTGGGTACAGTGGCACATGTTTGCAATCTCAGCTACTCAGAACAAAGGCAGGAGGACTTATTGCCAAGTTCAAGATCAGCCTGGGAAACTCAGTGAGACCTTTTCTCAAAATAAAAAACAAAATGCTGGGGATGTAGCTCAGAGGCCAAACACCCTCGGGTTCAATCCTCAGCATTAGCCTCCTGGAAAATAAAAAATTATATGGCCCTCAAAGCCAAAAATATTTACTATTTGGAATTTACAGAAAAGTTTATCAATCACTAAAACAGACCATTAATTCATTGTAATTGTGAAAAATATGACAAAAAGAACCTGGTTCTTATGAAATAGTAAAGAGATCCCCCCTGAAAACATGAAGGATAATCAGATCAAAGGAAAAGACCCAAAGGCAAGGCTGGAAGGACTGGCATTATTTAAAAAACAAAAGAAAAAAAACACCCCAAGGTGTGAAGGAACATGGTATATTTCAGGAACTGACAAAAGTTAAGTGTAGCTTGAGTAGAGAGTATAATTACAGAGTGTTGCAAGATGAGATCAGACAGGCTAGCACAAGTTACATGATGCAGGGCATTAAAGGCCATAACCCAGACTTTATATCTTTATCTGTAAGGCAATGAGAAACTATCACAGATAGCTGCAGAGGAATAATATGAGTAATCTATACTTTTAGAAGATTTCTGTTTTGTGGGAAACAATGGGAGAGGAGGTGTGCAATGGTAGATGCAACTTATGGATTAAGGGAATTATAGGATGGACTATAAGGATGTAAAGAAGAACACAGTTGAGGGATATATAGGAAGTGGAATTGACAGAGTTTAGGGAATGATTAAGCTGAAAAATATGAAGGAAAGACAGCTGACAAAGGTTCCTACAACTTGGCATGTATAACTGCTTGACAGGATACACAAGGGGAGAGCAGAATGGAAGGAAAAGAAGGTATAGGAGGAAAAAATGAACTCAATTTAAGTGTAAAGTGTCTAAAAACAAAATGGAGATGTCCACTTAAGAGTTGATATGTGTGCCAGTTGTTTAGTTGAAAGGATGAGATCAAATTTTTGGTTAGGTTTAAATGATGAAATGATACATACATCCAGTTAGTTTTTGCTAACTGGATGTATGTATCATAGCTTATCTCTATTACTTTTTTGTATGGAGTAAACAGACATAGAAAAAGAAATTATCCCTAGGAGAAGAGAGAAGACAGCACAGGCGGGAAAAAAGTTAAAAAGACCTAAAGCCAGAAAAAGAAAACGTACCCACTTTACCATTTTTGTGAGATTTTTCTGTTCTGCTCAACTGAACTCAAAAGTTCAATTAAAGCCCACTTGAATCTAATGTACGAAATATGATGTCAAGAGCTTTGTAATGTTTTGAACAACCAATAAAATAAAATAAAATAAAATAAAATTCATGCTCAAAAAAAAAAAAAATTCAATTAAAGGCAATAGGGGTATTTTCATTCTATACAGTTAGAAGAAATACGGATTCCCAGCTATAAAATGGTCTCAAAATATGATCCTTAAATAAGACTTGAAGTCACTTATCATATTACTTTTGAGCCTAGATTAATCATCTTATCGTTAAAAAAGAAGAGGTTATTTTGCATTCTAGAGAACTTAAAATGTTAGTTTTTTCCCTTGGTAGTACTGGGGATTAAATCCAGGTGTACTCTACACCACTGAACTACATCAACAGTCCTTTTTTAAGATCTGACTTTGAGACAGAGTCTTGTTAAATTGCCCAGGCTGGTCCTGAACTTGCCTCAGCCTCCTGAGTAGGTGGGATTACAGATGCATACAACCACATTCTGCTGTGAACTTTTTTCTTTGGAACACTACAAAGTTGAAAACTATGAATGATATTGTCATTATAATGATAAAAAATTAAACCCATATGAAAGAGAATTCTCAAAACTTACTTTTCAAGCTCTTCCTGAGAATGGGCAAATGTACAATTTGTTCCTCGTGGACACCCCCCTTGCTGTCGCAAATCTCGGCACATACTAGTCTTGTACTTGCTATTTGGCTGAGGCTACAAAAAAGAAAACATTCAATGTGTGAAAAATGATGATTCCAGTTGTTATTCACTCTTGGAACTTCAGAACTTTATAATCATACACTTATTTCTTTATCACATTAGACAAGTAATTCTTGTGCTGAAACAACTACCATTCCATAAACCTGAGTTAGCATTTTAGATATTTTCTCTGAAGATCCTCTGAAATGATTCAATACAATGTAATATCCATGGATAGAAAGATTTTTCTCACTAACTTATTGCTATATTAAAATTGTGATACCAATATTAAATAATTTTAAAAAGCCTTTTAAAAAAAGTCATAAGCTTTGTCCACTTAAGCTTTCCCAGGAAAGGCAGAATACCATTTTCCTGAAAGTGAAAAATTACCAGTTGTAAACTTGGAGGTACAATTTTATTCTTAGGCTTAAGCTGTTTAAGTTTACACATATAATGAGGAAGACTATAAAAACCTCATAGATGCTATAATTTGCATCAAAGTCTCAGAAGAGGTCATTCTTATTTTCCATCTGAACAATATTATTCAGTTGATATTTGAATATAATATCTTCTAATCAAATAAGGATAGAAGAGCGAAAGATAACAGTCTCTGGGATAGATTTAATCCAAGTTGTCACTTACTGACATCATCACCTTAGATGTTCTTTAACCTCTTTAAATTTCAGCTTAGGAACAGAAATTACCTTGTAGGTAGCTGTGAGGATTAGAAATAACATACATAAAATATTATACAGAGGGACTGGCCCACATTAACTTAACAAATGGAAGTTATTACCAAAATAAGGATTATAATTTAACTTTCTCTATAGTACATTGAAGATAATATCTTACAAATTCAAATGGAAATTCATTCGGGAGATAGCAACTGTAGAAAAGAACTTAACAAAATCTTTGGAGGGAATCAATAAGCTATACTTGGGTCAAAACCATTCTGTTTTCAGTGAACTCATATCAAAGATAACCTCTACACTCTTGCTGTGCTATGTACTTATCAAGTACATTTAAAACTGAGTTCTCTCAAAAACAAAAAAACAAGAGATAATAAAAACATGAGATGGATGGGGATGTACCTTAGTGGCAAAGCACTTGCTTAGCACGCACAAGGTCTTTGGATTTGATCCCCAGCATCACAAAAACAAATGAATAAACAAAAAAGAAGTTTTAAGAGAAGAGTCACAGGAAGAGTCCACTAACAAAACAGGTTAAGAAGTTCATGATGAAACTGCACTAGAGATAAGAGTAGCCAGAAGTGCAATAAATGTACATACTTGAGGTGTCTCATGGCCTTTTCTGCTATAATTCTGTATGAAGTCCACAAGGCCATGAACCACTGTTTTAACAGCTACCATTGCATTTTCTAGCTGCTCCCAGGTAGGCGAAACAGCATCTAAAATAAGCATCAAGGGGATGGGGGATGGGGAGAATGTGTTAGCAGTAATTCTCGTGTTATTTACCTCAAAGGTAGACACAGTACAAACATTCGAGCATTTTTTCACATACCTGGATTAGGGTCTATGTTTGCAAGAAGCTCTAAATGAGGCCTTAGTCTATTCAAGTTAGCTGGGTCACCGGTTCGTTGCAAAACAATTGTCAATTCCTGAACACTCTTTGCAAATGATTCTGGAGACTGCAGCTAACAAATAGAAAAAAAGAATGGTTTTTACTCTTTGACACATAATATATTCTAACATTTTTAATGTCTCAGTTACTTAACAGGTTTTCAAGTGTCTTCAGATTTCATAGTAGGAGTATCAATGATGAAGTAAATTTTCATCTCAGAATCTGCCCTATGAAACTCATCATTAGACACTTAGAAAACATATTCACAAGCTGTATTAGCTCTCTGGGGTCAGAATACAGATACACTTGAGACCTTGTAAGCCTGGCTGCTTTTATACTGGCATCCTATGTTTGTTTCCCTAATACATTTCCTAGTCTATTTATTTATTTATTACCATTAAGTGGCACTAATCAATGAGCCACATTCCCAGCCTTTTTATTTTTTTCCTTTGAGATAGGGTCTCACTCAGTTGCTCAGGGCCTCTGTAAATTGCTGAGGCTGGCTTTGAACTTGCAATCCTCCTGTTTCAGCTTTTTGAGTCACTGGGATTATAGGTATACACCACTATATTCAGCTGCCCCTAATTTATTTTGAAGGTTAAAAAAATAATATTTAAAAAAAATTAGTTTGGAACAGTCTGATATTTAAAAACATGGAAATCTCCACTGTTTAGTCCCTTTAGAACAGAGATAATCTTAAGACTTATTAATGGTTTGACTCATGATTTTTCGACTTTACAATGGTGTGTAAGAAACACATATTCAGTAAAAATATATTTCAATTCCATATTTGACCATTCCCCTGGCTAGTGATAAAGCAGTATGATATTCTCTAATAATGCTGGGCATTGGCAGTGAGGCTTATAATCATTGAGGATAAATAATTGATACTTTGTTTAACTGTTTATTCTATGATGATGTTCATTAAGTTAGGTATATTAAATGCATTTTCAACTTAGATGGGTTTACCAGGACTCGAGCAGGGGAGCATCTGTATTCTAATACTCTTCTGTATAACAACAATGGTATAAAATTAGCATCTCTAATTTTACAAACCTTGTCAATGATAGATTGCATGTGTGATTTATGAGCCAAGTCACCATATAAAAGTGAGGACCACTGTTCAGGTGAAATACGAAGTCCTGCTTCCATAGCAATATGAACGATTTGGGCATCATGTTCTCTGCGTAGTGCCTCATAACTGCGGAATTCCTCCTTTAGCTGCATCAGGGAAGAGTCTTCATCTCTTTTAGTAACCTAATAGAAAAGCAAAAAAATAGAACTCATCAAAACTCATCTGCTCTTTTACCCTCAACCACTTAATTCACTTTTTTGGGGGAGTAAAAGAGTCCATACTACATTAAGAGACACCACACAAAGTAGTTAAGATAATGTTCACACCACATTTCTTTTTGGGACAAATTTATTTGTGTAACTAAATATATAGTCCTTCTTTTCAATGAGTTCATCAATTGGCAGGGAAGAGACACTTGTAAACAGAAAATTAGGAAGAGTGCTATTATAAAGCTCTATGGCAACACAGAAGAAAGGCAATTAAATGTGATTGTTAAGGGGAGGAAAGTGATCTCTGCAAAAGCCTTCTTCCAGCTATAGACTACATGAACTACATCTTGGAGAATGAATAGGAGTTTTCCAGGCAAAGAAAGATGAGAAATAGAATTCTCAAGAGAGCAGCAGTGATAAAACAGGAACATCAAAGAGCGAAGGAATAGTTAAAGCTAAGATACAGACCAGAGAAAAATCAGATGGCCTTGTATACTGTGTTAAGAAATTTGAATATTATTCTAAAGGGTATGAAAAGTCACTAAGAACTCTTAAAAAAAAGAGTGATATGATCAGATTCATGTTTTAAGAAATATAACTTTGGTAGTAACAGAAATAGATACAGATAAGCAAGAAATCTAGCCAATCAGGGCTGGGGTATAGCTCAGTGGTAGAGCACCAGCCTGGCATGCTACTTAAAAGAAAAAAACAAAACAAAACAAAATAAAACAAAAAACCAAAAGAAACTCAGTCAATAGTCAATAGGTATACAAGAGTTAGTTTTCAAAGAGTTTCACACGAACTAGTGAAATTGTCTAATAATATAAATGAGTAGATATATGGATGGATAATTTCCACAATAAATGATATGTACTTACTCCTGAACCACTAAAACTTCAGATAAACCATTAAAACTACTAACCAGTAATGATAACCAAAACTTGGTTAGAATTCAGAACACACAAGACTAGTTCAGGTTCTGAAACAGACTGGATAAATCATTCAAATTACTCAAAATTTAGGTTCCCTATTGGTAGAAGAAAATAGTCCTATGCTGAACACTGGGCTGAGGCAGGAAGATTTCAAGTTCAAGGCCAATCTAAACAACTGTAGGGATAAAGAGCCTCAAATGTGATCCCAAGTATCAAAAACAAAACAAAAACAAAACAAACAACAACAAAACAACTCCAGACCACCTCTGTGGGTGTTTTATTGCTGTTGCTGGCACATCGGACAATAGTGACAGGCCACCAAGAATATGAATGAGGTAATCAGGTCATAATAAGATCACAATTCTCTTTGGGAATCTATAAATACATCAGAGAAGAGTTTGGGAAATTTATAATTTTAATTAATACAATCTCAGGTATTTAAGAAAAAGCAGAATATGAGTGTACCTAGGAAGTAACAAAAATCTATGTTCTATCATAACCTACCTAAAGAAGCAATGAGGAAACAAAAGGAGGAATTATCAAAACTTAAATAACAGAAAAAACAAAGTTAAAGATCTAGAGGATGGTCTCGCTCATCTAAGTACCACGTATGATACAGTGTGTACCAGGGGCAGCATAAGAAGTACAGAAGTCAGACATAGGTAGTGAGCAGAACCTGGTCCTATTTAAGTGCTAACATGTATCAAAATCATCTGTGAAGCTTTGAAAGACAGAATCTCAGATCTACTGAATCAGAATCCCTGGATTCAAAGACTACACAATTAAAAAGTATTTTTGAAATCTTAAGTCCAACTTAAGATAAACTCAATTAGAATTCTTGGGAACAAAGCTCAGGAATGAATATTTTCAAAAGCTCCACAGGTGATTCTAATATGTACCTTCAATTAGGAAATACTGGACTAGGGGCTGGGATTGTGGCTCAGCAGTAGAGCACTCACCTAGCACGTGCAGGGCCTTGGGTTCAATTCTCAGCAACACATAAAATAAATAAGTAAAATAAAGATTGTGTCCAACTACAACTAAAAAATAAATATTAAAAAAAAAGAACTACCAGACTAAAACTTAGCATCATTAATTCCCCTTATTCTCATTCCATGTTCAGCAAACAAAGGTTTGATACTTTTTACAAGAAAATATCTACCAATGTGAGAATTCATAGCATTCAAGAACTGCATTTCTCATTACAAATTAATAAAGCTCTTGATGTATTATTATACGTGATCTTCGCTAGATGATCATCATCCTGAAGACAAATGTACTGTATGAGCCCACAAAATTTAGGTATTAGTATGAAGAGTATGAACATGAAGAACAGACCTTGGTCAATGATGAATCTGTTAAAAGTAAATTCTACCAAGTAAGGCCTTCTCGCAGTAAGTCAACATGATATCCTTTTATTCATACAATCACTGCACTTTAACATTTTAAACCATGTGACAATAAGGATGAAATGAGAACATAAAATTGAAACAACTTTCTAAACTAGTGTTATTCAAATATCACTTATCAGGAGCAGTTATAGATATATGCCAATCATAAACCACAAATCAATATGATACCTATGAAGAAAAACATTGTATCAGTGATACACAGTGTGAAAACCTAGTCATTTCAAAATGGCAAATGATCTCTGTAATTTGGCTGCTTAGCCAATAACTTAATATTTAAGGAATCAGAGATTGATTTCATTTCCCTAGGGACATGAAATCAAGCATTATAACTGTCATGCATATAAGAGTCCAAACCTCATTATTAGAGTTAAATGAATCCATTTGAATATATTTCTATCATCAATTACCTGTTATCTAAAATTGAATAGTCTGCTAAGGAAATCTTTTTCTGTCTGTACAGTTTTTGTTCTTGGGAATTTAAAAAGAGCAAAATAACCTAAACAGGCTTTGGTTTCAAATTAGATGCCTTATTTTCACAGAGGCCCAGGGTCTATTTCTAAGTCCTAGACCTTTCTCAAAATATTACACTCCTGTAATATAGAGAAATTTTAAGGAGATACCTGCTTTCTACCTTTCTGAACACCTTTCACTATCTACCAGCCTGTTAAACAATGAAACATTTTAAAACATCTTGCCCTTTCTACCAAACAAAAAACCACAAAGAATGCAAAATAAGGCAATCCCCTCAATTTTTCATTTTCTTGTCATCCTTAGGATTTCCATATTAAAGACTTTAATATTACATAAAATGAAGTATATATAAAAAAAGAAGTTTTTAATATAGTTACTGACTCCCTTTTAAGATAACAAATGTAAATAAATTAGGCTTCTTTCTTCCACTTTTTTTTTTTCCTAATTTAGAGTCAAAAATTCACCAAATTAGGGGCTGGGATTGTAGCTCAGTGGCAGAGTGCTTGCCTTGCACGCGTGAGGCCCTGGGTTCAATCCTCAGCACCATATAAAAATAAACAAATAAAATAAAGGCATGCTATACAACTACAAGTACAAAAAAAAAGTTCACCAAATTATCCTCTGTTCTACTCTGTGTAACTGAAACCGTATTTGGTATCACAGATGCAGTCAATGTAGAAGGAAAAAAATTTTTTCTCAACTTTTTTTAAGCATTCTGTTACCAGATTGTGTAATACAAATTCTAGAAAGTCTCTGACTCACATAGAAGTATGAATTCTTTACATAGTTCCTCAATGCTTACCTTAAAACAAGAAGCTCGATACAGTAGTTGCACAACATGACCAATACTTGTTTTTGATGCCTGAGGAAATCTTGGTTCTAGTCTTTGCACAACAAAAAGTACCAGAACTTTCCTGGAGAGAGCAGAACCATCTTCTAATGCCAGCAACACCAGCTTCAAGGCCTCTTCTTGCATAGCTAGAAATTATTAAAGGAACATTAAATGTTCATTATCCTGCAGATCACGTCTATCAAAGGCATCTCTGAGTATTAGTTTATGGTGGTCCATTCCCACAATCGGTATTTAATTAGCACAAAGAAAGGATGTCACCTATAGATGAATACAGTTTATTTTAAAAATAAGCATGCAAAAGAAAACATTTCCTACTAATAACCAATCAGAACACCAGTCAAAAGAACTCAAAATTATCATTTGCAGGTATACAATAATCAATTAGATAATGATAATGTTAAGGTGAAAAAGAAATTCATAAAATACTTAGAACTACTGATAACAACATGTAAAGATAGGGCTGGGATTGTGGTTCAGTGGTAGAGCACTTGCCTATCATGCATTAGGCACTGGGTTCAATTCTCAGTACCACATAAAAATAAATAAATAAAGGCATTGTGTCCATTTACAACAACAACAACAACAACAAATTTAAAAAGAATAAAAATTAAAAAAAATAACATGCAAAGAACATACAGGTGGCATATGCATGAGAATGTTATTCTGCCTGTCAGAAACTACTCTGTAAAAAATTTATAAATGATTAGTCTCTAGATGCAATACCCGAAGAGGGTATTTATACTGTTTTAAAACCAGGGATATATAGTGTATCCTGAATCAAATCATGAGGGAACATGAGGCAAACCTAGATTAAGAAATATTTTATCACTGTGTGCAGTGGCATATGCCTGCAATCCCAGTGACTTTGGAGGCTGATGCTGGGGATCCCAAGTTTGAGGCAGGCTTGAGCAATTTAGTGAGGTCCTAACCAATGTGAGACCCTGTCTCAAAATTTAGAAAAAGCTTGGGAGGAGGAGGGGGAAGAGAGGGGAGGGGAGCGCGGGGCTGGGGATACAGTTCAGTGGTAAAATGCACCTGGGTTCAATCCCCAGTACATACTCCACCCAAAAAATTTGTAAAGTAAATGGCATGTATTCCTCAAAATAAACATCATGGAAGATAAAGGTTGAGAAGTGGTTCCAGATTAAAGAAAACTAAAAGATAAATGACAAATACATTGAGTATGAACTAGATCTTACACTAGAAGAAAATAAATGCTATAAAAGACATTTTTGGAATAATTGAAAAAATTGGAATACGAACTATAAATTGTACTGTATCAAAGTAAAAGTTTTTGAATGTGATAAACATATTGCTATTACATACAGAATATCCTTGTTTTTAAAAGTATTTTGGTCAATGTGGGTAAAGAGCATTCAGGAGGGCTGGGGTTGTGGCTCAGTGGTAGAGCGCTCCCCTGGCATGTGTGAGGCACTGGGTTTGATCTTCAGCACAATATAAAAATAAATAAATAAAATAAAGGTATTATGTCCATCTACAACAAAAACAAAACAAATAGCATTAAAAAAAAAGAGCATTCAGGAAATTTTCTGCATTATTTTTGCAATGTTTCAATAAATTTAAAATTATTTCAAAATTGAGCCGGGAGCGGCAGTGCACACCTGTAATTCCAGCAACTTGGGAGGCTGAGGCAGGAGGATTGAAAGTAAAAAGACAGTCTCAGCAACTTATGGAGAACCTAAGCAACTTAGCAAGACCCTTTCTCAAAAAAAAATATAAATAAATAAAATAAAATAAAAAGAGTTGGAATGTGGCTCAGTGGTTAAGTGCCCCTGGGATCAATCCCTGGTACCAAAAAAAAAAAAAAAAAAAAAAAAAAATCAAAATTGTAATTTAAAAGTACATGGTTATCAATTAAAAAACCCAGAACTTTAGAGCTGAAAATCTACAGTCAAAATCAAACTCCATTTTCCAAGGTGAGGCTATTCAGACCCACAGAAGTTAAGTGACTAAACTAATGTAACACAATTAGTTGGTAACTAAACCAGAGCTTGAAACAAAGACTTAAAAACAAAACAAAACAAAAAAACCTTAAGGTAAAATTCACATAAAATTACCCATTCAAAAATGTACAGGGCTGAGAATGTAGCACTCATGCACACACACAACAAATGTATAATTTGGAGGTGACATTTAATACATTCATAATGTTGTATAGCTATCAACTCTATCAAGTTCTAAGAATTTTTATTACTCCAAAGGAAATCCCATAGTCATTAAACAGTCACTTCTCATACCCTCTATTCCACAGATCCCTGGCAACCATTTAACCGGATGTCAGGTCTCTTTCACTTATAGTGAAATACTCATAGTATTTCCCACATGCAGCATACATCAGTAATACTTCAATCTTTTTTTATGGCTGAATAATATTCTATTTATGGATATATCTCATTTTGTTTATTTATCACCTAACAACTGGACTGTATCTACCTTTTAACTATTATAAATAATACCACTATAAACATTTGTGTCCAAATATATTTGAGGACCTATTTTCTATCCTTTTGGGTATATACCTATGAATGAATCTGTTGGGTCATGTTTAACTTTAGGGGAACTCCCAAATTGGTTTCCCCACAGTAGTGCAATTTACATGTCCTCATCAACAATTGTTATCTTCTATCTTCTAAAATTGTGGCTACCTAAATAGGTGCAAAGTGGTACCCTATTGTGATTTCTTTATTTTTGCAGTGCTGGGGACCAAACAAAGTTCATGACTCATGAATGCTAGGCAACTGCTTTACCACTGAGTTATGCCCCCTATGTGTCATTACAATTTTGACTTGTATTTCCCTAGTAACTAAAGATGCTCATATGTCTCTTTGTTATTTGTGTCTCTTTGGAGGTTCAGTCTTTTATCTACTTTTAAGTTGGGCTTTTTGTTGTTGAGTTACAGAATAAAAATCTGATATTTAATCTGGTGCTTCTTAGGTTAAGATAAGTAAACACAATGAAATATACAAGTTATATAAAATATGAATTTAAAAATATTTTTAAATTTAACTTTGTATTATGGAAAACTTTAAACATACACAAAAGAAGAGCTAACACTATCCATCCAGCTGTTTTCAAGTTTCAACTAATTCTTTCTTTTCCAGTTTGTTCTGGCTGGAGTGTTTGGAAGAAAGTTCCAGATAATTTATTATTTTACTTTTAAATACCTTAGTATGTATTTCTAATAAGTAAGGCTTCTAAAAATATTAATAAGACCACTGTCACACCTAACAAAATTAACACATTTCCTTGATATAATTAATATTCAATCCATGTTCTATTTTTCCCATTGTCTCAAAATGTCTTACTACAGTTGGTTTAAATATCCAAATAAATCCATACAATTCTTTTCAGTTGATATGTCTTTAGGCTTTAAAAACAAAATGAAACAAAACAAAACCTATATCATTGCCTTGCCACCTTTATCCTCCTATTTAAAAGAAAATTCATTTATTGTTGAAGAAACACTTTTTCTAAAGAATTTTCTTAGATCAGCATGGTGTTGGAACACCTGTAATCTCAGCGACTCAGAAGGCTGAAGCAAGGGGATCAGTTGAAGTCAGCCTGGGCAACTTGGCAAGATCCTCCTGTCTCAAAATAAAAAGGACTAGGGATATGGCTCAGTGGTAAAGTACTACTTACTGGATTCATTCCTCAGTACTAGAAGAAAAAAAAATTTCTTTATTCTATATTGGTTTCATTGTGCTTATAGTATTTTTAAATATGTTCCTCTACCTCCCTCATTTCAGGTAAACCAAAAGCTTAATTAAATTCAAATTTAGGTCTTTATCTTTTTTTGTTTTTGGCCAACCACACATATATTACATGAAGACACAGATATGCATACAGCCTAGCTGTCTTGCTTTTAACAAAAAAAAAAAAATTTTTTTTGCAGGAGGCTGGGATTGAATCTGGAGTACATTACCACTGAGCTAAATCTCTAGTTCTTTTTGAGACAGATTCTTGCTAAATTGCTGAGGCTGTCCTTGAACTTGGAATCCTCTTGCCTTAACAATCACCAAGTCCTGTTTGAGTTATTGGGATTACAGGCATATGCTACCACACTTGGCAATGTTGAATTGATCAGAGGGTTCAGACCCTATCCACCTATTGTAAATTTCCCCAGTAACATTTCATCCAATGATTTTAATGCTGGTGATGTAGCTCAACAGTAGAATGCTTGCATAACATTCACAAGGCCATAGATTCATTCCACAGTACCACAAAAAGGAAAACAAAAACAAAAATTCAAACCCTAATAATCCTTGACCAAGCCCATTAATTAATTTAGAGGTGCAAAATTATGGTTTTTCTAATTTTATCATTTTTCTTTTAAATTTATTAGTTGGAATTCTACTAAAAAAAGACACTTCCCTCAACATAGAAGAGTTATCCCTAAAATAGTTTGCATAAGAAAGGCAGGAAAAAAAATGCTCAGCTTCTTTCTAACTCTTGTTCTTTCAATTTTCAGAATATTATGTTACTGCTCTAGCAACTGCCAAGATGACCAATTAATATTTTCTTACTACAATTAGGAACTCAACCCATTATAGTCATCACTCATTTTTATGTCTAAATTGTCCATTTATGTCCAATGTAAGCTTCTTCAAGTTCAAGTCTATGACTTTTTAACAAGATTCTATAAGTTTCTGATACCTTTTTTGCTTTCTAGCACAAGATTTTCCAGGTTTATCTTTTACTTTCCCATCTTACAACTGGAATAAGACATTTATTCAAAGAGTCCTGCCTCTTTTTAGGGGGAACTGATATTTATTGAAGCTTACAATTTTGGTGCTTTAATTATTAATTGCTGGGATGGGGATGTGGCTCAAGCGGTAGCGCGCTCGCCTGGCATGCGTGCGGCCCGGGTTCGATCCTCAGCACCACATACAACAAAGATGTTGTGCCCGCCGAAAACTAAAAAAAATAAAGATTAAAATTCTCTCTCTCAAAAAAAAAAAAAAAATTATTAATTGCTTCTAAATCTTTTCAGCAGACAGACAAGGATATTAACAATTTTTAGAAAGAGAAAAACAAATAAATCTGAGTAAATTCTACCAATTCTAATTTAAGACTACAGGGTTTTTACTTAAATTTCACTGATTTCATAGTCATATCATTTTTAAATGCTGAAAGTATTGGTTTCTGATGGCATTAACATAATAATGTAATTGATTTATAAAACTGTGTCTTATTAGTTTCAAAATAACACCACCAGAATTATGAACCACAGGCTCATTGAATATAATTTAGGATTTATACATCTCACTAGAGATAAAGAAATCAAAATATTATGTTCTAAAGTCACCTTAAATAATTTATTCCTATATGGATATGCATTTAACTTCATAAATTTTAGCCTTATTAAATTTTTATAGCACTGAGGATCAAACTCAGGGTCTTGTGCATGCTAGCTAGGTAAGCACTCTACTAAGCTACATCTATCTCCAACCCCTTAACTATATTTTTAGATATTATTTTGTTTTAATCACTTTTAAATTTTGGGGGTGCGGGTACCAGAGATTGAACTCAGGGCACTCAACCACTGAGCCACATCCCCAGTCCTGTTCTGTATTTTATTTTGAGAAAGGGTCTCACTGAGTTGCTTAGTGCCTAGCTGTTGCTGCGGGTGGCTTTGAACCCACAAACCTGTTTCAGCTACCCAAGCTGCTGGGATTACAGCTGTGCACCACCATGGCGGGCTTCGCTTTTAAATTTTTAAAAATTTTATTTAAAACCTTTATAAGACACTTATGTGGTTCCTAAATTCAAAAAAAAGGTAATCAGCATTCTGTTCCTTTCTTACCTTTTTTTCTTCCACAAAATTTTATTATTTTTATTTTTCCTGCCAATGTTTCTTTTGAAGGATTTAAATGAAAAAAGTAGGTAACGATTCTGTCTCCCTCTTTTTCTTACATAGAATAGTACACTATTCTGCACCTTGCTTTTATTTTTTTAACTTAAAAATATATCTGGAGATCATGCCCTTCCTCACTGCTCTCAACAGCTGCATAGCACTGCACCAGAAAGATAAACCATAGTTGAGTCAGAACCTTATTATAGATGTTCAGGTTACTTCTAGATGTCTGCTTTTACAAATAGTGCTTTATAACTTTATGTGTTTTGTATTTTTGCTGTATTTTTGGATTGACTCCTTAAGTGGGATGGCTGAGCTGAAGAGTAAACACAAAGGTGATTTTGCTTAATGTTGCCAAATTTCTGTCTTTAAGTTTACACCATTTGCTGCATTCCCACCAGGACTGGATAAAAGTGTTTCCCCACAGCTTGGTCAACAGAATACACTGTCAAACTTTTGATTCTGCCAATTTGATGGATAAGTAATGGCATTCCAGTATGACTTTAATGTACATTTTTCTTTTTATGAGAAACACTGGGTATCTTTTTATATGTTTGAAGTCATTTGTATTACTTTTTATATTAAATCTTTTGTCTACTTTCACTATTTGTGAATCTTTCCAATTTGATTGCTAGTCTTTGTTTTTTGAGAAAAAATTAATTTTAATTTTTTCAGTTGTTGTTGTTGGTACTAGGGATTGAATCTCATCCCCAGATTTTTTAATTTTTCATTTCAAGACAAGAGTCTGGCTAAATTGCTAAGACTAGCATTGAGCTTGTGATCCTTCTGTTTAAGCATCCTGAGTCACTGGGATCACTGTCTGCATATTTGGAAGAACCTCATATATTAGTTATATTAATCTATGTACTGGATGACATTTATAAATATTTCCCCCAGCTTATTATCTTTTTACTCCGCTTATAATTTTTTGTGATGCAAATTAAACACAATATCACTCCTGGATTTTGAGTAAAAATTTAAAAAGTGTTCCTATTTCCTACCAGGTTATAAGAGAATTACCTATTTCATTTGTTTTTATTACTTGTATAATTTACTCTGTAATCACAAATATTTCTGAACTATTTGTAATTTAGGCAGTGACAGCATATAAGGAATGCATCCAATTTTATTTTTCTACCTGTCCATCCAGTTCTCCCAATCCCACTTATTAAAAAATGTTTCCTGTATGCCAGGCGAAGTGGCACACACCTGTATTCCCCACTACTCAAGACTGAGGCAGAAGGATCACAGGATTGAATCCCTTCTGAGCAACTAAGTGACAACACTGTCTCAAAATAAAAACGGGCTGGAGATGTACCCTACTATGTGTAGTACACCCCTGGACTCAATCCCCAGTATTGCAAAAAAAAAAGTTTTCTTCACAAAATTAAATTCTGCTCAAACCATATTTCTAAATAAGAAAGGTAAAACAAAACACCTAGAAGAACTACAGGGAAGTACTTCATAACTTTGGCATAAAGGTTTTCTTAAGCAGAATATGGACAGAATAACCATAAAGAAATTAACCCCAAGTGACTTATACTTTATATATTTTTCCAATTTTTAAAAATAATCAAGAGATTGATATTTTTTTCCTACCACACACACACAAAATAAAAGAATTAACCTTCCTTTACTTATAACCTATGCAATCCTAAACTCCTTCTAGCTCAATTTTCTAATTTGTACATGGTCACCCATCTATCTATAAGAGATTATAATACATAAGTCATATAGTCCATTATATTACACAGTCTATAATATATAATATAAATTATGATTAACAAAAGCTTTAACTATGTCAAGATGTATAAGGGCTGGGGTTGTTTGTGGCTTAGTGGTAGAGCACTTGTCTTGCATGTATAGGCCACTACATTCGCTCTTCAGCACCACATAAATAACATAAAGGTATTGTGTCCTTCACAACTAAAAATCAAATACCCCCCCCACACACACACACATACATGTATAAAGATGGGTTGAGTCCCAGGATTTTAATTTTGCCTTAGAAACTGGCATCCTCAAGTTTTTTACTCAAGCTCTAATTACCAATAAAAATGCTAAGATAGTCAGCTATTTTACCTGGCCCTAGAAACTGGCATCCTCGAGCCCTGACAGCAGCCCACAAATTGGCAGACAATTGCTGAGGATTCTGGTGCTGTAATATCAGTTCTGTTACAGTTCTTTCTCCAAGTGAACGGGCTGCTCTCATGGCTCTGACACGACCTTCTTCCTCCACCAGCTGACAGTTCACAAGTGTCACCAGTTTCCTTTGCATTGGACGGCTCAGTGCACTCTGGTTCAAACTAGCTACACCTTTAAGAAAAGGGAAACAAAGAAAACTAAAGGTTTTTCAATAAATTAAACAATTACATTATCTATATTTGTATTTAGCCACAAATCTTAACGAGTCCCTTGTAAGTAGTTTTATTTTTCTAACAGTGAGTATACTGTCTGTTTATTACCATTTTGTAATAAGAAGGCAGCTCACTTTTAGTTATTTCAGATTTTATTTAGGTATCAAGTTTTCTGTACCCAGATGCAGCACTTTGTATTTATTTAGTTTTCTCTCCATCTTTTCTATAAAGCAATTGAAGATAAATTCAAAGATGCCTGAGTAAAAATTCTAACCTATAAAGACTGATTAATCATGGTTCTAATTTTTAAAAATTGTACATGAGACATTTAGAACATTGCTCAGTGATAACCTCATACATCTTACTCCTTTGAACTAACTCGGGGACACTGCTCCAGCAATTCTCTCCTCTTACGTATCATCAATTTTTTCCCTCTCTCCCATCAGCATACAATAAGAAAAAGTATGCTATTATTTCATCCATCTTAAATATAAGTAAGGACTGGTGGTATAGCTTAGTGGTATAGTATTTCCCTAGTATGCACAATCCCCAGTTTGATTCCTGGCACCACAAGGAAAAAAAAAGAAATCTTTCTACTGATCCCTCCTTTCCCATTAGTGGTGCTCCATTTCTTTCTTCCCATTTGTAGCAAATCCTCTAGATTTATTTCCAGTTTCTTACTTTACAATCTCTAAAACCTACTCTGATTTTGTCACTATCTCTTGACCAGAACTGAACACAAGACAATTATCTACTTTGTTTTTTTCCCCCCAATTGTCTCTACTTTGTAAATCCACGGTTAATTCTCAGTCCTTATCATATTTGACCTTCCACTAATATTCAACACAGATGATTACTCTTTCCTCCTGTATTTATAAATACTTTCTTTGGTTTCTAGAATACTCCATTCTTTTGGTTTTCTTCCTTCCTCCTCCTTTCCTTCTAATCTTCCTTGCAGATTTAAAATCATCCTTTTCCCCTAATTATGTTAAAGGACCTCAGCACCCAGTCTATTTTTCCTATCTAAATTCACTACTTAAATGACCTCATCCAGTTTTGTTACTTTAAATACCATCCATATATGTCAGTGACTCCCAAAGTTACAGATAGCATCCAAGTAAATATTAACAAATCTCAAATGTACTATGACCAAAACTAAACTTGACTTTCCTACCTAAACCCGATCTAACTTTACTATTACAACTGATGGCCACCCACATTTCAGTTACTCAGGCCACAAGATCTAGGAGTCATACTTGACTCTGCACAACTTCTCAAATTCCAATTCAGAAATACTCTTGCCTGTATTTTAAAAATGTATCCCAGATTGAGCATTTCTCACTCCCTCCATTGCTGCAAACCTTGCTCCAAAAGCCTCTTAACTGATCATCCTACTTCTGCTCTTATCCTTCTATGGTGAATTCTCAATAAAGCATCCAGTGATCATTTAACATTAGTCAGATATCAATGCTCTGCTCAAAACTCTGCAATAATTCCCTAACTTTACTCATAGTAAAAGCTTGTAAAGTAAAGTCTGTACATCACCTGAGCTCATCATTTAGTTTCATCTTATATTGCTTTGCTCCTCACTCACATGCCTCCAGGCATACACCTTCTACTTTATTTATTTATTGGTGCTGGGGATTGAACACAGGGCCTTGTGCATGCAAGGCAAGCATTCTACCACCTGAGCTATACCCCCAGCCTTGCTTTTCTTTAAAAACATGAGGATGCTGCACACACTAGTCCCTCTGCCTGAAACTATTTTTTTTTTCTCTATTCCTAGTACTGGGATTGAACCCAGGGTTGCATGCATGTGAGGCAAGAGTTCTACCACTAAGCTATGTAGTTTAAACTACATGGTTAATTATTTCACCTCTTTCACTTCATTTCAAGTCCAAAAGCTACCTTCTTTTTTGGGGGGTTACAAGGGATTAAACTCAGGGGCACTCTACCACTGAGCCACATCCCCAGTCCTATTTTGTATTTTATTTAGAGACCGTATCTCACTGAGTTGCTTGGCGCCTCACTTTTGCTGAGGTTGGCTTCGAACTCTCGATCCTCCTTACCTCCCAGGCTGCTGGGACACCACACCTGTCTTAAAAGCCTCCTTCTCAATGAGGTCTATACTAGACAATCTGTCCTTCTATTCTGACTCTGACATTGCCAAACCTTCTAACTGCTTTCTTTTAGATCAGTTTTCACCTATACTATATAATCTTTTTTTATTATAGTCTTTTGCTTTTCTAAAATATAAGTGCTATGTTTAAAGGCAGGTATATTTTTCTGTTGCACTTACTAAAGTATGTCAAACACCAGAACAGTGCCTGGCACTTAGTCCAAAATCTTCTCCAGGTACAAGATAAATTCATTTACTATCTATTATACCTATAATATGCTCCTCACTGGCTATGTAGTGATAAACAAAAATTAATATTCCACTTTTTGTCATAGCACTTAAAAGACTTTATTACACTTGTACACCTATCTCCCTCAGTAGTCTGTAGGCTCCATGAAGGCACACTACACACGCTCAACATTTATATTTAACAAGTCCTCTTAACCAGTAAAAATGCTTTATATGAACTTACCTTTTCCTCCACTTAGTGGTTTTAAGTAGAGTGCCAAATCCTCAACACATTTCTTTGCAACCTCATAGTGTTTATTCTCACCTAGATTACTTAACTTTATTGACTGATGATCTGGTACCTTAAAGAATGAAAAATTGCAGAAATACATTTATCCAGCTCATGTAATTGTTATTTATATACTTGATAATAATCTTAGTGAGCACAAAATTATAAAAGAGATAATACATCAAAGTGATTTAAGAAAAACTTTAGATAAGCTAATCACTTAGCCAAACTGCTTCCCAAAACCCAAGGCTATCATACATAATTGTAGAGGCTAAGTAGATTAATGTGTGTGGGGGGCAACTAGCTAATAGTTATTAATGTTAATTTCAGGAGGCTGATAACTGTGCTATAATTATAAAATATGTTAACACTAGGAGAAAGCCATGGAAAGTTATGCAGGTCCCCTGTACATCATTTTTAAAATAACACTTTTAGTAAGTCTAAAATAAAAAATAAGAAAGAATGTATGAATTTTCTCCCCATAGCAATTTGCTAAGCACCACTCTGCTACATTATTTGTTAGGTTTTAGAATTTATAATCTGTTCCCTTTGCTAGAACATAAGAACCACAAGGCAGTGTTCTCAAAGGTCAAACTCTGGGGACTGGGGGATATAGCTCAGTGGTAGAGTGCTTGCCTAGCATGTGTGAGACCAAGGGTTTGATCCCCGGCATTGCAATGCAAGAATTAAAAAGGTCAAAAACTTGGGTAAAAATTGCAGCTCTGCCACCTCTGAGAAATCTTGAGAAAGTTATTTAACTGTTCTTTATCATAAATTCTATATCTGCAAAATGAAGACAAATATCCATATTTTATGGTACCTTTAAGAAAGTTCAATTTAATTCAACAAATATTTATATTCATGGAGTACTCCTGTTCCAGGCACAGTTTTAGATATTAGGTGTCTAAAATTTTGTTTTGGTGCGCAAAACAGAAAATTTCTTGTTCTGTGAAGCTTATACTCCAGTGAAAAGGAGTCAGTAAAAAAAAAAAAAAAAAAAAAAAAAAAAAACACACACACACACACACACACACACATACATATATGTATGGTGTTAGAAAGTAGTGAAATTACACAGCAATGATAAGAAGGAAATGTTGGAAAAGGGTTGCAATTTTAATTGGAGTGGTCACAATAGGCTTCCTTGAGAATGATAACGTTTTAAATAAAGATGTAAAAAGATGGAATGAATATTCTAGGCAAAAATAAGTCACTACAAAAGCCCTAGGTGGTAATATGCTAGGCATATTTGAGAACTGGCTCAGGAGGCCAAAGTAAGAAGATAGTGGTAGATGAGGTTGAAAAAATAGAAGTCACACTGCACAGACTTGTAATAAGCTATTTAAGGATTAACACAGATAACACTTATAAGGAACATTAACAAAATACTTGATCTATAGTAGATTCTAAATAAACGGTAGCTACTATTACAAAAAGTCCATGTATTTTACTGAATCTAAAATGCCACCGTTTGCATGAAGCAATATGAGTTTATGCTCCACTAAGAAAAATATGCTACCAATTAAACTGTAGCATCATTATAGAGTCACTTTGATTTCAGAGTGTCAAACCTGATTATTAACACTGAAAATAGATTTTGTGCTTTAAAAGGAAAAGTGCAAATATCAAGATACTAAGGGGAACAAATAGAACATTTTCAATTTGAATTTTTAAATAAATTTTCTAATAAATCAGAAAAATCCTTATTTTCTTGCTTTAATATGTAGCATATAATGTAAAAAATTTTATCTTCTTCCTTACTTGTAAAATGGGGATAACAACGACCTAAAGAGCTATGATAAGAGTAGTGATATTGGGCTGGGGATGTGGCTCAAGCGGTAGCGCGCTTGCCTGGCATGCGTGAGGCCCGGGTTCAGTCTCAGCACCACATACAAACAAAGATGTTGTGTCCGCCAAAAACTAATAAATAAATAAATAAATATTAAAAAATTTTCTCTCTCTTAAAAAAAAAAAAAGAGTAGTGATATGAGTAATAAAAGATAATAAATATTTACCATCATTTATAAGAGTAGACCCTCATTAAATGAAAGTTATTATAATAAATCTAGGGTCTTGCTCTGATGCAATAATATGATTATAATACAAAATATTCATTCCATAGTACATGTGCTCAAGACACTGAACATAATTTGTTACTGACACCCTATTAATAGGTTTTTCAGACATGGACACACACACACACACACACACACACACACCCCTAAATAAAACTTATTTTCTCATTTATATTATCTTAAATCAATTAAACTTAAAAACAAAAAACAAACAAACAAAAAAAACCCAAACTTCATCTCAGGGTTCTAGTTGATTGGTTCTGGCCAGAACTTTATATTTTCCACCTAATGAATAAATATTATGTATGTATATGTAAAGTATTTCTCATTACCCAAACCAATTATACACATAAATTTTGTCCAGAACATTGAAGGAAAAAAAAATACATACCTATAAATGAATTCACCATTTTACATAAGAATTTATTATATAAAGGTATCTTTTTAAAGATTAAAATCATGAAAAGCACATACATTGACAACATTTATGTCTTTTGTATCACTAAACATCTTATACCCAATAATAAACAATGTTTGATGATTACAATAGATACTAAATTAGTGAGGTACTGAAAGTTACCTGGGCTCCAACTAACTGGAGAAGTGCGAAGTTGACAGGAAGTACATCAATGTCTGTGTTGATGGCAGTCTGGTCAAAAGGACAAGCTTTTCGGTGAAGTTTATTCAAGCAGGTCTTGCAAACAGTGTGTGAACAACCTAAACTGATGGGTTTGTGCACATTCTCATCAAATTCATTATAGCAGATTGGACAGGACAGAAATTCTGTCCATTGAGCTGCCTGCACAGGCATTGTGGAAGCTGGATGCTCGGGTTAGCAGTCTAGCAGATCATTATTTTGCTGTGTAGTGTTTTGTAAGCTGGAAATGGACAAAAGTAAGAATTTACTACATATTCATTATTCTCCTTTCAAGAGTTAACTGCTAGAGTCAATTCTCACAGCTTCAGAACCTGAAATTCTTAATAGTTTTATATGCTTTGGATGCTTTTTAAAAAACAAAAAACAAAACTGTGTCAATGTTGCCCAAAAATAAATCACTACTAGAGATCCTTTCAACTACACTCCATATTGATTGCCACACAATTTTCATTGCTCATCAAAACTTTTATGTATTTTTCTTAAATAATTTTGGATTGTTGAGTTAAAAAAAAATTTAAGTGCTTTTTCTTGGATTACTACTAACCCAATACATATTAAGATAAGAATTAAGATAATTAAGAATTAGTAAGCTTTGAAAACTATTGATAAAAGCAATATTGTAGTCAAATCAAATGTAAAGGAGGCAGCCTGGTCATCTGAAAGAGAAAATCCCTGGTTAGGACTTAACTCAGAGGCTAACTGAGGTAACAAAAAATCTACATGTAAGAGAAGATTGTGATGACAGAGTTGTTTGTCCATAAATGAAAGAATGTTGACTAAAAAGTATGGTGCCAAAGTAAAACAAAGAAAATATTGTTTTAAAAATTTTGTAGTAATTCACTATAATACTTCTAACAAAACTTTATTATTTAGTGATTGATAAGTAGAAATAAAACCTGTCAGGTACAGTAAGAAAGATCAGGAAAATGAAACATATTCTTACCTAATAATTCTAAGCAGAATATATGTAAAATATAAATTTCTATCTTTACTATGATTATAAATTCAGAAAAGTGATATCAATATGATTTAAAACTGGAAAGGCACTAGAAAATAATTAAGAGAATTTTATTTCTAAGATTAAAATCTGCCTCATAATTTTTAGCAAAATAAGATTTATTACACTAACTTTACATTTCACAAATTTTCTGTATTTTTCAATTCAAATCTTATGTAGGTCTGACAAAGGCTCTCTGGTGAACAAGAAATCTAGGTATTTAGGGCAATTAAAGAGCTAATACTTTATTTCATAGGAATGTTTACCAACCCAGATATATTAATTACACAGAAATTAGAAGTTTAAAAATGCAGTTAAACTCAGGATAGCAAAGTAGATAACTGAAAACATTCCTCAATATTCCAAAATAAAAATGAATTCTATTAGTCCCCCAACCTTTAAAAAAATTTTTAGTTGTAGATGGACACAATACCTTTGTTTTATTTATTCATTTTTATGTGGTGCTAAGAATCAAACCCAGTGCCTCACACGTGCTAGGCAAGGGCTCTACCACTGAGCCATGTCTCCATCCCCTCTAATTAGCCTTGTGTTTTTATGTTCACAAAAACTGAGACTCTAAAAATATCTTGGTACAGTCTTCTATGTAAAAAGCACCCTATATAAATTTTTTCTCAAAGTTCTAATGCAAATCTTATAAATTACAATTTATTTTTACACCAATCACCTTCACATTGTCATACTGATTAAACCAGCAATCTAAAAATCAGTAATTATGATTCCAAGTTTAGAAATGAGGCCTAAGTAGGTGAACCGATAACTTCCTAAAACTAATGTATTTAATATTCAGTTTCCTTTATTGCAAAATTATACAGGGAAAATTTGTAAATCTAAGCAAAAATTAATTTTGTCTTAAATCTACTATTGAGAGCCTCAAGTCAGTTAATAACTTGAACCAACAAACTTTTTCCACAATGGAAAAACTTATTATTTGGAAATGTTAATTTTGTGGATTAGGGTGTCTCAGTCCACTGGGTAATGGGAAACAGAGCAAATACTCTTTCTTCAGTTTTCCAACTACTGTATTCAAGAAGACACTTGATAGTTTGAGCACTTGCCTAGCATGTGGGAGGCCCTGGGTTTAATCTCCAGAACTGGGGGGAAAAAACAAAAAACAACCTAACAAAGTTTGGGTAATAATTCCTAATAATTCTAAATTTGCCTCCTGCTATATGTCAGATTCTAACTTTTTGACAACAAAATTATGAACTACATTTTCCTTAAATAACTTGATATAATGAATTTTTTGATTTTTTAAAAGAATTGTTTTTTAAAAAACAATTATCAATAAATTAGATTGCTCAAGACAAAAACAAATAAAATTTTATCTGAAATACAGAAAAAAGTTACATAGTCCATTAAAATGTTTGATGAGTGAGGACAAAATTGGGCTTTAAAAATGGTAATTGTAGGGGCTGGGGATGTGGCTCAAGCGGTAGCATGCTGGCCTGGCATGCATGAGGCCCGGGTTCGATCCTCAGCACCACATACAAAGATGTTGTATGCGCCGAAAACTAAAAAAAAAAAAAAAAAAAAAAAAATTAAAATTCTCTCTCTCTCTCTCTCAAAAAAACAAAAATGGTAATTGTAATTTACCTAGAAAATATTTTTATACCTACCCAAAATGATGGATATCGTATTTTCCTAATACTTCTTTTAAAAAAGCTTATGAACGAGCCATAGAGAGCTAAGAATATATGTTAATTTGTAAACCTTCTAGGTTTATAGTAGCACATTTTTTTTTTGAGAGAGAGAGAGAGAGAGAGAATTTTTTAATATTTATTTTTCAGTTTTCGGCAGACACATCTTTGTTTGTATGTGGTGCTGAGACTGAACCCAGGCCGCACGCATGCCAGGCGAGCACGCTACTGCTTGAGCCACATCCCCTGCCCATATACTAGCACATTTTATGGGATTTATTTGACTCTATGGAAGTCTAAACTGCTGTTAACATTTATAGTTAACACTGAAGTATTCATCTTAAATATACTCCTAAAACATTTCAAGTTGGGATAAAATGGATAAAAGTCCTTGTCCCTAAATACTGTAGAGATTACTAGATTACTTAAGAAAAACAATCCATCTTTTGTCATAACTAATTTTAGTTACTAGCTTCTAACACTGAAGGACAATAAGACAAAACAAAGAAATGCTAAAGTAGGGGCACAACCTTAAACAAATTTTCCCTCATATAATTTTCTAAGCCATAAGTTCCTTACTATGAGGGCTAACTCATAAAATAAGAAGAGACATAAAATAGGAATAGACATCTCTCATGATGCAAATTACAAACTGCTTTATTAAGAGCAAACTGCATACCAGCTAAGCACTTTCATTTTCTGTTACTAGTCCACCATATTATGCAGCCAGTTCAGGACCATGGCATTTGATTTCAAAATGTCAGAGTAAAGTTTACATGTTTTTCACTGTGTGTGTATATATAATTTATGTACATGCATATACAAACATGCATATTATTTTATAATTCTGCTTATAAAAATATAAACATTGGGGCTCAGGTGTGTAAATTAAAACAATCATTGTTTTTTCATTCTAGTTAACACATGTGAGGATTATAAACTATTAAAATGGATAACAATACTTGTCAATTCAGAAAACTTTAAAATAATTACCTTTGGACTTAAAATTATATTTAAAGCACCAGAAGCACAATCTAGGTCTTAACCTAAAAAACAAGCAAAGAAACAAAAAACAATCGAAATAATCTGTAAACTCTAAAACTCAGCACCCAAACACATCAAAAGGATTGAAGAAAAAAATACTGAATTATAAACACTGTGATTATATGTGACTTTATGTAAGACTCATGTTTTATTTCTTAAATCAATTACAGGGTTGAAACTCAGTTCTAAGTGTAACTTTCAATGCCTTTTAATAGGGAAATAATAAGGTAATTTTTTTTCTTTTTCTATTAATATTTTTTTAGTTGTAGATGGCAAGCATTCTACCACTGAGCACACCCCCAGCCCCAATAAGATAAATTTCTATTCCAACTAATAAAGTTTTGCTTCTTTAGTGATGGCTTGACTTCAAAGATGGATTATTTTTGAAAAGAAACTTAGGTATTTGTTTCTGCCTATCAAATAATAGCCATTTGATAACTTTCTTATTACCAAAGTCTTTAGCTCTTTGATTTTTCTAATTATAAGAGTATACTCTGTCAGGTTTTCATATATCTACTTTTGGTTTTCATATATCTACATTTATTGACTGATTGCAGTTCTAGGGATCAAATCCAGGGTCTCACACATGCAAGGAAAGCAATATACTACTGACTAAATCCCCAAATCCATATGTTTATTTTTATTTAGTTGATTTATTTCTTGAAGAAGTAGTATTCCTCTAGAAAAGCAATGTCCAATAAATACACAATAAAAGGTGGTAGAGTTATAGCGCAGTGGTAAGAGTAAATGTTCAGCATATGCAAGGCTATTCAATCCCCAAAACCAAAATAAACAACAAAAAAGCAAGTAATTTAAAATCTTGTCATATGAAAAAAAAAGTGAAATTAAGTTTATTAATGTTTTATTTAGTCCAACTTATCTAAAATATGATCATGTACTCAGTATAAATACCAGCTACTATTATACCCTTCTAATACCAGCTACTCAGAAGACTGAAGTGAGAGGATCCATCCCAAGTTCAAGACCTGCCTGGGCAACTTAGTGAGACCCTATCTTTAAATAAAGATATAAAGGTTTGGGAATGTAGCTCAGAGATTTGTAGAAAGTTTCTGAGTTCAATACCAACTACCATATAAAAGACAAAAAGAAAAAAATTATTGAAATATTAAAAAAGAACTTAGTATTAAGTCTTGAAAATTTGTGTTTTTTATACTTATAGCACATCTCAATTCACACAGCTTCAAGTTCTCAATTTCCACATGTAGCTTACTGGTTAGTAATGGACAGAGCAACTCAGGATTACTAAAGATTATAAAGAAATACTCAAAACTACTTTCTATGAAAAAATTTTAGATGAAAGTCACTATTAAGGCATTCATAAAATTAAAAAGCCCTCATCAGAAAGATGTAACTTAAAACAGACATGAGACTGGGTGCCAAACATCAATTTAAAAATTTTTCAACTTTTACAACATGCTTCCTTTTTCCAACATTAGGAAGTGAAATTTCAATGAGTCTAACCAAAACAATAAGCAAGTTCTTATTACAACTTCTTATAAGTTTATTTAACACTTTTACCTATCACAGTTTATGTTCTATATGTGAATATAAATCCTGAGTAAAGAAAAATGCTCTGTCAGTGGAAGACTGCAAATTACAAAAGCAGAATGGGAATTAATGAAAATATGAACAAAGAACATAAGTCTTCTTACATGTCAGGTTAACACAACAGTAATAACAGATCAGTAGTAACTCAAAGGATCCCCTAATGAACACAACTGCAATTAGATCATCAGAGAATAAAAAAGCCTGCTTGAATTATAACATCCGCTTTTTCTAAACGAGAGTGGAATGTATGTTTAACATTTTGCCCTTCTAGCAATTTTCCAAGCTCCAGAATTTGGAAAAAAACAAATCTCCAAATTAAAAAAAAAAAAAAAAAAAGAGGCAATAGTGAAGAACAGTATTTAGTAGGATGTGAAAGTAAACAACATTAAGACAAGGATATTAGTTTAACTTTAAACTAGATAAAAAGAAGGTGAAAACAGGAGAATCCATGCACTACACTTGATGATTCAAAAAGCCTCAACTAAGTTCTGTACATATTTAACTATAAAAAGACTGCACAAACTAATTTTTCTTTGCTTTTGGGTGAAATTATATCGCTTCGGTCTAGCAATATTAGCTTTCTCAGGTTAATCAAAAGTTCCTATTGGAACTTAAAAGTTTTGACTAACACAAAAATGGAAATGATTTAAGCACTTTATTTAGGATACAAAGTCATTCTGATCACAGTGGGTGGGGAACGAGTAGAAATAACAAAGAATGGACCTAGGTAAGAGGACAGTAGGAGTTAAAATGAGAATCCAGGTGGGTTTTATGAAAATATAAAAAGGGTTGAGAATCACTGGATTAGATCTACTTTATGTCAGGGATTACTTGAGACTATTTTGGTGTGAAGATTCTATCTGCCGATACCTTAAACTGGTGATCTGAAGGATGGAAATGACAGCTACCTTCATCTCCTTCCTTCCTGAAAGCTAAGGAGAGAGAAAAGTAAAGCTGCTTCTCTGAGAAACAAAGATGCTCTCTACCATTCTTCTAAGATGGTGGAAGAGTCTTCTCAAGAGGCTTCCCCAAGGAAAAAAAATATGAAAAGGGGAAAAAAGAGAGCCATAGCAGAATTCCCTGGCTGTGTTTCATGCCATTGCTTCTAGTCAGATCCTCTGTGCAACCACTCAGGTCGGGCCATCTCCCTCCAGGGAGGTTAAGCCCTCGCAGGGCATTGTTTGGCCAAGGTCCCTATTTATACCGCTCACATCGCCTCCACCATCCCTGCGCGAGGGTCTCCGGAAGCCCCAGGGCAGCAAGATGAAAAGCCAGAAGAGGACCAGATTTCGAGGACCTCTTCCAAAGCCCTCTTTTACTAACTGGGGGAGGAAAGGGAGAGGGAAACCTGGCCTTCGCTTGGGTGGGTTCCTTAGTGGTCAGAGGCGTCCTCTCTGCCAGTATTGGAGGAAGGTGGCCATTTGAGCCGGTTGCTCCGCATCGAAAAAGCCCTACCCGAGAGAGGGGCCTCCTCAGGCCCGGGGTTCCGTCCGAGTGTCAGGTGCGGCCCTCAGTTCCCAACCCTCGGGGTTCCGGCAGCAGCAGTGCACAGGCCCCCAGGTTGAGACCGGTCTCCCGCCCGACCGCTGGGGACCTGGCACCGGGCTGGGGCCCGAGCCGCATCGTGCCCGCCCCCGCCCTACCTGAGGGGGCCCGGGCGGGGTCGCTAAGGGCCGCTCCCGGGAGCCCCGCGACGGCGCGGCTCGGCGACGGAGGCGCCTCGTCTCGCCGGGGCAGAGCTCGGCGGCGGTTTCACGGCCTCAAACTCCATCGGGAGCTACAGGGACAGCCCCGTTGGCGGCGGCGAAGGCCGCGGCGGGGCCTCCTCCTCCTCCTCCACCCTCCGCCTCCACCTCCTTCTCCTCCTCCTCCTCCTCCTCACCACGGAGGCGGACCTGGAGGGATCCCGACTTAGCTCTCGCGAGAAGATTCTCTCCAGTACACGCGAGATTACGCAAGCCCGGGAGTTGGTGAGGTGAAAGAGAAGCTTAGTAGTCCCTGCCACCTAAACTGCGCATTGGCTTCTCTCTGGGCTAACCAATCCACCCTCATCACGTGACGAAGAAGCCCCGGAGCACTGTGGGACTGCTGTGAGGAATTCTAGGCTAGGCGAAGGGATTGATGGGAAAATCCCTGTGCATTCATCTGCTCCGGCTAGACACTGTCGTGAGGTACTGTACTGTCAGTCTCCCACCAAGAAGCGTGTTCTTTGAACAGAATCTGATACACCCGTGTTACTTTCTACTTCATTCTCCTGTAATGAAATGCTTGAGCGGATCCCTCAATTCTTTCACATTGGTACCACGTAATCTGCCAATCACAAAACAAAAACACCAAAATGAAAAAGTTTAATTGGCAGCCACTCACACCTCTCTAATCTTATTAAAGAGAAAACCCTGAGCTCCTTCAATGTGGAACTAGATGTCCATCAAAAAGTTCTATGGAAGTAAACCAAACATTAATTAAAATATGCATAATGTTATATAATGAGCTTTAAAAACATGGCTATTACTGCCTGAAGACAAGATCAACGCTTTTGGAAAAATTCATTGGCCCCCATCAGACTTTTATGTATATGCTGTTATCCTTTAAATTCACTTTGCTATATGGAATATATAACAATCCAAAATAAATGTTCCCAACAATCAGCAGTTCATTTTTATATTTTCAACTGGAGAGTGATGGGTGATTATATTTATATAGTTGCTTTCCAACCTATTGTATTTTTCAATTCTATGGAAGACATATATATGTGTGTAAAGACATATATTTGTGGGTATATGCACATAAACATGTAAATACATATGTATATATGCACACATGTATATACACAATTATTTCTATTCCACAGACGAGGGAATATACCTGATTTTTCAAAAGTATACTGATCACTACATATAACAATCCCAACCCACTTTCCCTAGACTTCCTATTTCTATCTTCAAACCTGTTTTCAAAATTTGACATACATTAATTCTACTTGTTTACTGTTTGTCTCCTTCCACTAGAATAAAAGTTTCATGAGTACAGGGATTTTTGTTTTTACACACAGATTCTAGTACAGATAATTAAAAACTCAATAGGTATTTTTAGAGTAAATGATTAAATAGAAGAAATTGTGACCTAAAATTCATGGACATAGGCAAGACATGAAGTTCTCTATTCCCACCTCCACTTTATTATTTCTTATGTAAACATAAAAGCTAGTTACATCAAGGAAAAACAGCAAGGATTTTCTCTTACAACAAAGTAACAACTACCTTTCAAGGTCTTTTATATTTATAAATGCAGTAAATAAAAAAGCTGTTCACAAATAATTTTATCTTATCAAAACCAGAAGCAACTAAAAGTGAATATTTTAAATGAAGAAATTCTACACTTTGCTTTGCCATGCCTACATATTAAAAATGATTCCATTCACCTGCAACTTTTAAGACACATCATGCAAACATACTCTCCTAGGAATGTTTTAAGATCACTGTTCTAGTTAACAGGAATAAATAATATAAATAACAACCATTACTTTTACAAAACACCCTTCCCCCAAAGCAAAAATCTCAAAGTGCTCACAAAAAAATTGTACAACAATCTTACAAGGCACACATAAACCTAAACATTTTCAACCAAATTTTTCTCAAACATCCAAGATAGTAAATGCCAATTCCTAAAAAAATTCAGTTTATTTTACTCTCTCTTCCCATTCTAAGCCCCCCCTTCAAAATTTTATCCTAGTAAGGAAAAATAAGTATTTCAAACACAACTATTCCTGAAAGGGAAATACTTTCACAACTATAAATGGTCACTTACTCAAATGGGAAAGAAAATTAAGCGCTGAAGTATTATATTACTCAGTGGAAGAAAAACACTACTTTAGAAAAATTCTGTATCCAATGGAGTATTTATATAGCAACATTCATAGACACAAAACTCTCCTCTCCTGCTTTCCTCTTTTCTCAGTTCTCAAATAGCATTAAATATAATATGCAATTTTAGACCTGGAAATGATCTTACAAATTATCAAGACCAAAATTATTATATATAAAATTAAGGAACATTAAAGGACAGGTGACCTGCCCAATGTTATTAATTAGTGACCTGGGTAATAAAGTCAGTTTTTCTCATCAAATATGAGACTTAGAATCTTTAAAGTCTTCCCCCAGAGTAAGATTCTATGGAGAGTATCTTTTCCACATGAGTATCACAAAAACAATATTTTACATTTATAACAATCAATATGATTCTTCATGAAATTCTTATAAATGGTACAAAGTATATTATGTTTTAAAATACAGGACATCAATAGAAACTAATTACAGTAGAAATTTTACATAAAGCTGAGGTAAGTAGAAAAAGCATAGAACAGCCTGAATGTTAAATTTGTCCAGTCAGGCTTCTTTACTAAAAGTAGTTCCTGCATTTTAGAGGAGGTGATTTGCCCTGTGATATATTTTGATCTTTGTTATGACAATGAAAACAAGTTTTGTATTATATGTAGGCAGGGACATTAAGAGAGCTGACTCAGAATATTACTCCTACTATAGTAATTATATGGTTTTGCTTTTCTGGAAATATCAAATAAAACTCTAAGAATGGGTAAGATTTTTGTTTAAAGAGCAGATAAAAATGCATTAAATGAAAATATCATCACTAATAATTAACACTAGCAGCTATTCACATTTAAACCTCATCTAGTGACAACTAAAATATATTGACAATTAAAAAGGAAAAAGGGAATGAAAATTGATATGTGCATGAATGAACCTCAAAGGCATTATGTTGCGTGGAAAAAAATCTCAAAAGATTCCATTTATCTGACATTCCAGAAAAGACAAAATTATAGTGATGAAGAACTACTGCCAGGGTTTAGAGCTAGGAAGAACTGACCACAAAGAGCAGCAAGAAGGAGATAAGGGAAGTGATGGAACTGTTCTATATTCCAATGGCAGTGGTGATACAAAAACTAAAAATTATGATTTAACTGTATTAAGTAAAATCAATAGCCCCATTAATTATTCTAAAATATGTATAATGATTTAACTGTATTAAGTAAAATCAATAGCCCCATTAATTATTCTAAAATATGTATAATGATAATAAAAATGAAAGTACTTTAAGGAATTTAACATTTTCTAAGGAAATTCTATTCCAAAGTGAATCTGAATTGTGTTCCTTTATAATTTAAAATAATAGATATCTTGGTGTTGTTTAGCAGAAAAGGAAAAATGTTCCTAGTAATTCCTGTTCTTAAAAAAAAAAAATGACTAGTAATGAATAATAGTGCATTTTAAAATTTATTTTCTTTCATTATTCTGATACTTAAAGTTATTATATAGTTGGATTTAACATTTAAATTAATTATCTAGACACTACAAATCAGAATCTGCAAATACTGTCGGGTCGGATCCTCGGTCATCAGAATAAAAAATATTTAAGTAAAACACTATTTCTCAAAGTGTACCACTGGGACTTATATGGAACATACACGACAAGACAAGTCCCATAACTTTTTCAGGCCTCTCACAATTTTTTGGAACTGTTAGAAGTTCAGAAAGAATAACATGTGAGGCAGACCTAAAAGGGGAAGGGATGGGGAACAATAAAATTATTACAAATACTGCATTTCTAAAACCTATGAGAATGATACAAAGTTTACAAAGGAAGTCCATGATTCCATTTATAGCAGATCTTGCCTTTTAAGATCAGGTCTAGGTAATTTTTCACCACTACTTCTGCCATGAACAGAGGTTAAATGCTTTTTGAGAGCAGACTTGTGCTTGAAATCCATATCACAACAATGGCACTTGTATGGCCTATCCCCACTGTGTATGTTCAAGTGGTCCTGAAGCGTGCTTTTAGCAGTAAAGGTCTTCAGACACACAGTACACTGAAAGGGCCGAATGCCCATATGCCCTCGAATGTGCCGGTTAAGATTTTTCTTCTGTGTAAATGTTTTCCCACATTGTAAACACAAGAAGAGTTTATGCATCTTAAGGTGGCGCAGGTAGTTTTCTACATGAAGAAACCCTCGTGGACACCTGGGACACTGGTGCCTCAGTGAATAACTCTCCTCTAGGTTCTGAATCTCACTTGCTGTACCATGACTTTCATCAGTATTCTCACAAAATAAACCCTGACCTTGATTCTCAGGAACTTCTGCTACTCTGCTCTCCACTGTAGAATTAATCAATGAATGCTGTGTTTCAGACAAATACAGGCTTGCTTTTGATGAGGTACAAGGCTGTGAAAACTGCCCATTTTCTCCACTAGCTGTACTGATAGATTCTACATGAAGGATACAAATTTCATTGTCTTTAAAACCCACATCTATTGGGGATAGCTCTGGTGACTTCATTTCCTTTCTCTCTGATGTCAAGCTTTCTACTGTGGTCTGTAACACATTGTCTTCCTCTTGTTTAACATGGAAATCTATGTTTATAGGGCTATCTTCTGAAATTTCAATTATCTCACAGTCCTTATCAGAACTTTCTTCTTCATTCTTAACATCTGGATCAGAAGAGTGACACAGGTCAGCGTGTTGGTTGTTGTTTTTCATAGATAGATCAATTTCCAGATACTTTGACAAAGCTTCTGTGCACTTTTCCACAATGTGAACCATCTGAAGGTAACTGGCAGCAGTCAAATATTTCAAAAGCTCTTTCCTTTTTACTTCAAGTGCTCCAGTGTAGCAAGAGAGCAACAATTTTCTGCCAACTTCTGCACTTTGCAGAATGGTGATTCTGACATGTTTTGATTGTGTGAGTAAAAACTGATCTCTCATAAAAGTGGAACAAGCAGCCAATATCACCTTGTGCCCCTGGAACTCAGTGTCATTAATATAAATTGATACATCACAAAATAAATTCTGCTGCCTCAAGAGATTCATTTTCTGCAAGACCACATCTCCTTGCTGTTCAAACTGGAAGTGCAAAACATCAGACTCAGCAGCCATGGTCAAAATCTAAGCAGAATAAAACACAAACATTGATATAAGGATAAGGAACGCTTCATCGCGCTATGATAGTAAGAATAATTCCTTTCCTCTCCAAAACCCAAAGCTGAAATGGAAAAAAAACCCAAATTGTACTCTGGGTGCTAAGAGTAAACCTCTATATCACCATCTCAAAATCCAGAAAAGTATAATGCATTTGTCTATGACCTCAAGACACATTTCTCATATTGGCTAAATTTTATGTGCCATGTGATCAAGAACACTCAATTTTTAATATCCAGTAATAGGCAAAGTGATCACAAAAAAACTACACTTAGCAAGATATCCCAAATTAGAAACTTTTTATGTACAGACCTTCTGTTCCCCACGACTACTACAGTTCCTCAGCCCTGTTCACATGGATCATTGTAATGTTTTCCCCCAGGCTTCCTCAACATTAACAATCTCTTGTATAACCCTCCTGATTTCCACCCGAATTAACATCATCATCATAAATTAACAACAAAATAAATCTCTCTTCTGATATAAGTCATCCATTGCTCTCCTTTAACTCCAGGATGGCCTTTAGGTTCTTAAAAAGAACGCATGATCCTTCGCTATTTAAGCCTAATTCACTTTTACATCTTGATCTCCCTCTACTAATCATACTCTTAGTTCCTTAGATATTAAATTCTTCATAATCGCTCAGATAAAAACACCTAAATACACCTCTGCATAGTTATTACTTTCGCGTTTCCAGCTCCCTTTTCCAGCTCGTGATTAGGCTCCTTTAAACCTAAAACAAATGAGACTACAGTGACTCCTCCCACAGGGTCAGTCGCTCTCAGAGCACCAGGAGAAGACGCCTGATTCCTCCACGTTCCTCCGTGAGTATAGGAGCTACCACGGAGGGGGAAGAGGTCAGGCAACACTGTGGACCTAGCACTAGATCACGGTGGCCCGGACGATCCCTCCGGCTCCGCGTACAGCACAAGCCGAGTTTTCCAGGGCCAAGGCCCCATCGGCCGAGGCACTACAACACCCAATTAGCTTCTCAGGGGTCGCGCACTGCCGCCCTCCTCCTCCTCTTCAGGCCTCGACACCTGGCGAATCGCCTGCGCGCTCACTTACCAACCCTGAAAACCGGTGTTGAGGCTTCCGCGGTAGCGGCGGCCGGGCCGGAAGGAGGACTTAGCCTAGGAGGAAACACATCCGGTGTCAATCAGCTTTATTGCTCACTCGGGGAGCCGCCTGGGCGCCCCGGAAGGACATCTGAGACTTTTCCTCAGACCCCCTACCTCCTGGAACGACAGAAAAGCACCCAAATGCCGGCGAGCCTCCTTTCTTCTTCCCAGTTTCGGGACGCGAGACATTCCCCTTCGTGAGTCCTCCCCAACATCCATGTAGGAGACGAGTGTGAAGTTGGGTCACGGCACTTGCGTTCAAGTACCCAACGCCGAAACCTGTGGAGGGTCCTTGCGGATTATTACGGGGCGGGGTTTTCCTTTACGAGGCCATTTACTTCTTGAAAAGTGGCAGAGGAAAGGAGAAACTACCTTGAGGGATCTGTATTCAAAATTGCCTAACTAGTGCCATCACGATCTGGGCCCAAAGTCTGAAGATAGCAAGATAAGTTTCAAGTCCACTCCCCAGTGCCCACCTCTTTGGTCTGTTATCTTTTTCTTTTTTTGCTGTGCTGGATCAAATCCAGAGCCTCGCTCCTGAAAGGCAGGACCATCTAGCTACATCCCAGCCCCAAAAGAACTGGGGATAGAAGCAGCGGCTTTAACCATGCAAAGCATTTCTTTCCACTTTTCCTAATTGGTTCCCACCCCTATGATTCATTTGTCTGTCATCAATACTGCATTTATCATACCTGTTTTGATATTTGTGTCCCATACAGGAGGTATTTAAGATAGTACTTAATGATTTTGCTTTCCTAAAGTTTAGTACTTACTTAGTAGGCATAAAATGTCTGAACCAGTTTTTAAAACAGCTGCTTTACCTCTCAGCCAATTCTCATGGAAATAGCCGATTCCAGTAATAACAAATTTTGGTTAACTCATATTTCCTTCTGAAAGTATACTCAGCATATTTGATTAATGTGCTTTAAAGAATAAGTATACTGGATTCATATTCAAGCAACCGAAAAAGCAGGAGGGGAGAGAAAAGAAAGTAAACCATTGACACCAGAGTTTTAATTGTCGCACTTTTATTAAGGAAACTTCCCCATAATAAGTGAAGAGGTAGTTCATAGTATGTCTAACATACAACAGATTTAGAACAGCTAGTCATGAGCTGATATAAAATGTGTGGTTTGTTTAGGACAAGATTTTAGAAGTGGTGACACTGGTCACCTTCCATCATAGACCCAATGAAGAAACTAAAACAAATTAAAACCACATCTGATTTACCACTTCAATTTGGAGTTTGTCTTTAAAATTAAATAATAAATAAATAACTGAGACACAGCCATTTTTAAAAACCAAACTGGAAAAGAGTCCTTTCTCCTTCTTAATTATGCTGGGGATGGATAAAATACAAATGCTGAAAGACAAAGATTTTAAAATTATTCTCTATGGGAACATGACTATGTTTGAAAGTCATCTTCCTGTATAAAATTTACTTTATATCAGAAACTTGACCTCTCTGCAACATAATCTAAGAAACATGTATAAGCTAAGAAGGAGAAAAGGCAAGTCTCACCAAAATTAGAAAATGTCTCACAGAAACAAAACACCTCTCCAACCAAGAATGGAGGAGACTGCAGATACTTCAGTGGTTTGCACTTGCAAAAAGTGAGAATTAAAAGTTTTACCAAGAGAAAATCAGAAAAAATGCTTTAAGTGACCAAAGAAAACAAGGCAGTTTTATTATTCTAAGTAGAAAATCAAATTGAGACCACATAAGATTATAAGGTCCATTAGGGCAGGGACCATATCAAATCTTACCTTCATATCCTCAGTATCTATATAGTACCTGGCAACAGTAGGTGCTTAATAAATGTTTCTTGAGGCTGAAGGTGTAGTTCAGTGGTAGAGCATGTGCTCAGCATGCACAATCCCCAGCAAAAAAAAAAAAAAAAAAAAAAAAGTTTCTCAAGTGACTGAACTAATTCAGAAATAGTCTCCAACCAGAGACCAATCATATTTGAACCCCTGCCTTTCAGTCTTCAAAAATAGTAACAAAAACAGGAAATGCATATGACCAAAGGAAGCATTCCAACTTGAAATTTTCCTGTGAAGAAATGATATTCAGAAAAAACCCAATACTGGTTGATACTCTAGTCTTACTGTTGCATAGAATTTATAGTCTTTGGATCATATACAAATCAGAATGCTAGAAAGCAACATTAGACTATAATAATGAGTGATGCTGGGCATATAAGGTACCTCGTGATCTTATCACTCAACTGTATTCTCAAATTTTTAAACAAAAGAAATTATACTTCAAATTTGACTCACATGTAAACATTTCAAATTATGACCCATCAGACTATATGAATTAGCCTTTTTTTTTTGGATTATCTTTGTATGTGTTCTCATTGCCCAAAAATAAAAACAAAGTCCTGAAGAAAATGAAATAAACAGTTTTCCAGAAAAATCAATTTCACATTGGGAGCCTTCTCACATTATTCTTACTTGCCTTTTCCCTCTCTAACCAATACTTAATATATCAGTCACTTGCTTGAGGAGAATGTAATACTTATCAAACTAAAAAATAATTAATGGGCTAGTGATATAGCTCAGTGGCAGAGTGCTTGCCAAGCATGCACGAGATGCTCTGGGTTTGATCCCCAGCACCACAAAAAATAAAAATAAGATAAATCTAAAAAAATAATAACATAAATAAGTCCCTTGGTGATATTTTGTTGGCAAAATCCAGGCTGTCTCAGAAAGCCAACAAGTAAACACAGAGGTGAAACAAAATGGGAGCTTTTTGCTAATGCATTATTCTCCATTGTGTACTAAATCTCTTTAAATCAAGGTATAATGGGAACAAGGAAGGAGATATTAATTTATATTTAGTCACTTATCGATTTTGGCCAGTCTTGGCCAGGAAAGCTCTTGAGCTTTGGATGTCCCAACTTAAAATGAAAGAGATGGAATAAATGATTTCTTAGGATTCTCTAAGTACTCTCAACAGTCCTATTGCTAATTCTAACTCAGGGTCTTAAATAAAACTGAAAATTCTATGCCTGAAATGTGCTTTGGAAGAAACAGTTGTTTTGTTTTTCCATACTAGAAGAGCAACTTTGTATTATCAATCTATTGAAAGTGGGAAAGTGGGATGGGGTCCCTTTAAGAGGAGTATCTGAATGCAAAATTGTTCCAAAAGCACAGATTGTTCCTATGTCCCACTTAACTTTTTTTTTATATATATATTTTAGAAATTAAGATACATGAGGGAAGAATTAAGATACTTGTAGTTAACTGGACAAAACTCTATAGCCAGACTCACCTTTCTGATGGCTGAACTCTGATGTAAAGTTCAGAGACTCCTCAACAGCCCCCTTGTAGAGAAACCATTATTCTTTTGCACATTTAAAGTGTGCCTGAAACAATCATGATTTCAAAAGCATCACTAAGCTATGCTTTAGTGATGGGATATGCTACTTGGAAGACATTCCATGTGAGTACTGTTGTATTAATTGTATTTTTGTCCTTTGTTAATTATACTCCTCATGGTGATCTCTGTCTCCAGATGTGGCTGAAAAGTTTGTACTCTGGTTTGTGTGAACAATGAGATGAAGTTGGGCTTCAATAGTGTTAAAAAGGGCATAGACCAACCAACGTACTTTTTGATAGCCAGCTGCAAGGCAAGTACAGATGGTAGGATGCAGACTCATTAATTTATCAGACATAGATGAATTATCAATAGGCAATCAGACGGTTCTATCACATTCAGATCAACAGCAGTATTATCATATATCTCAACCTATTTTTTGCCAAAACCCAAAACTATTCACTTCTCTTAGCCTAGCATCTATTAGTGGAGAGTGGGATGATATTGTTAATTTGTTGGTGACCTTCAGACTGCCTGGTAAAAGCCTAAAACAGTGTAAGTCTAAGACAACATTAGGTAGACAAATGGAAGTATTCCTTGGGAAAGGAAAACAGACATCACAGGATAAATAAAACATAAAATGGGAGAGATCAGAAGGAAGGCAAATCCACTCCAAGTGGTAAGTTGCCTGGTCTATTAGTGCTTTAACTCACCCCATACCACCTGCACAGAGGCTTCAGAAAAGTCAAACTAGCAAAACCACTCCTAAAAATACTCAAGACTATTGTCACATTCTCAGTCACTGCTAGTTGTGAGCATTAAGTCCCTACTCAATTCACACAAGTACTATCACTCCTTAAGTTCAGGACAGCTTGGGCCAGTTTACCTGCATCCAGGACCTGTGTTGCGTCAGGCTGTGGCTGACACCCTTTAGAGTCTGTGACTGTCGTACATGCAAAAGAATCAAAATCCACTGTGAGGTCTTGCACATTTCTCTCATTGGCATTATCAAAGCTGTTTTTGCCATGCAGCTGCTTAAGGTGTTTCCTCAAAACTGGCTTATGTGCAAAAACCATGTCACAATAGTTACACTTATGGGGCTTATCTCCACTGTGAAGGTTAAGATGATCCTGTAAGGAACACTTCTGAGAAAAGGTTTTCCCACAGATTTTACACTGGAAAGGTTTAATTCCGGCATGTACGCGCATGTGTCGATGAAGATTGCCTTTCTGAGTAAAAGTCTTGCCGCAGAGTAGACACATAAAGAGTTTGTGCATTTTTAAATGGTTGGCGTAGTTCTCCAGGTGACGAAACACCCTGGTACACTTTGGGCACTGGTGATGCCACTGTAAGCCTTTGTCTACACCTCGAATATTAGGCCCAAAAACATCTTTTGAGGTCATGATGATGTTATCACTGCCTGTATAAGAAAGGGCATAATTGTGGAGATGGTTTTGTTCTATTTCACTTACTCTGTTTTCCACAGTTGAATTTATCAGGGAGTGCTGGGGCTCTGATGAGTGTAAAGCAGTGGGTTCAGAAGAAATAAACTGGTTCTGATCTTTCTTACTTCTAACCTCAGATACATCCCCAATAGATTCTACCTTAACAATCTGAATATCACTGTCCTCCATATCCATACTGTCTTCAGATGGATGAATACAAGGTGAGTCCTGCTTTGGGGAGCCTCTGGCATCTCCCTGCTGTTCTTTTGACTGGGGAGAAGCACTCTGTGGTTCACATCCCTCTTTACTATCCATTGGTTGTTTTGGCTTTATAAACTTCCACAGGGCCTGTGTGCATCGTTCTACAATGTGGCTCATCTGAAGAAAACTCGCAGCAGTCAAGTAATTTACCAGTTCCATCTCAGGGAATTCCAGAACACCACTATAACAGGATAAGAGCAATTGTCTCCCCACTTCAGAACTCTGTAATATTGAGATTTTCACCTCTCTGGAATCATTCAGTAAAAACTGGTCTCTTAGGAAGGGGGAACCTGCAGCAAACACAATTTTATGCCCCTGTACCTCAATATCATCTATGAGAACTGTAACATCACAAAATTTATTCTCTTCTCTTAATTTGTTCATTTTTTGTAACATTGAATCTCCATAATTTTCAAACTTGAAGTGAAGGAGATCTGATCTTTCAGACATTTTGGCAGACCTAAAGAACAAAAATGTAAAAAGGTTGAATTTAAGGAAATTTAAACAATTAAGAAAACTGGATTTACCGTTCAAAACCAAATTTGTTGTCATGCTTTGTATGTATGCATATGAAATTTTCTTTTAAAGAGGAAGCTTTTGATGGCTATTAAAAATTGCTCCTTACCAATATCAAGGGTCAATTGCACCTAAAGAGTAGACATATATAAGTGTAAATAGCTGGGCATTCACTCAACTTTTTAGACACTTAATATAAGAATATATATTATATTGGATAATGCTAAGAATATTTATTCACTTCTCAAATGAGAATTCAGTCAGGTTTCAAAAGCAAACTAAAACATCCCAACCAAAGTAAAGATGAAGTGATTAGTTTCTTTTGTATGAAACTGTGGACCTGTGTCTCCTAAATCAAAATACTCTTCCTTTGCTTTGTATTTTAAAGAACCACAACAACATTATTTGCCACATGTATTCCTGGACAGTCCCTTTCCTGTCTAGATCAATGTGAATTCGTTTTATTTTCATTTCTGTTTTGTTTTTCCACTGTGAATCATATGAGTAATTCTGTGATAAAATAAAAAAGTTACAGATGTAGAGGGACAATGTTTGGCAAGTATTCAAACATATTTCTTTATTCTGTGCATTGTGGATAAATCTAAACTCTGTTTTAAGAACATTTTTTGAGTTCGGCACCTTGGTACATGCCGTACAATTTGTATTGGCTGAACCTATAGGGTTAATCTGAAATTCCCCTTACTCAGGAGGCTAAGGCAGGAGGATCACAAGTTCAAGGCAGTCTCAGCAACTTAGTGAAGCTTAAGCAATTCGGTGAGATTCTGCCTCAGAATAAAAAAAGGTCAGGGATGTGACCTTTGGGGATTCAATCCCTGGTACCTTCCAAACAAACAAAATCCTTGATATATAAAGAAAATACTTGATACAGAAAAGTCACGTGGTAGGAACATTAGTAGGAGTAATATAGATCTAATCAACCCCTTCTAGATTCTGTTCTTTCCTCTTTTTCCCTATTTACCCATCAGTACTTTCACATGGACTACTAAATCCGATTCATAAGTATTTCTATTGGCTTCCAGTTTCTATTCCCTCTTATACATCACATGCCATCTTTTAAACACATGATTATATCCCACCCTGCATGAAATCCTTCAGTGACTTCTTGTTGTTTCTTGCAAGAAGACTAACCTCTTGAATAAGCTTGTTAACTAAACCTAATAATAATTAAGGCAAACATAGGCATAACCTTTTCAACCACAGAGAAAGTATCTTTGCCAAAACCCTTTGCACAGGGCTGGGGGATGTAGCTCAGTGGTAGAGGACTTGCCTAGCATGCATGAGGCCCTGGCTCTCTGAGCCTCTGCACTGTTTTTTAAAAACAAAACAACAACAACAACAACAACAAAACACTATGCATATTGGTCTGTTGACATAGCAGTTCTTTTGGATAGTCTCCATGTTCAATTTCCACACTCCAGATTTTCTCAAAACTTGGCTTCCCACGTGTCTCTCTAAAGGGAAAAGATGAAAATAATGGTCTAGTAGTCATTGTAAAGATAATAAACTGACAGTCTCTTTTCATATCTTAAAGTTCTACAATCTCAATACATCTGAAAATTCACCTTGAATTTTTTGTATTCGCCAGTCTTTTAGTTCAGTTAAATGAGACAACTAGTTTTCCTGGCCTTATCTAAACCTAAGGCCAATCTCTGACATTTTAAGTTCAATAACACTGATTTTCAGAGGCTCACAGAATATCAGTTCATGATAACAGAGTCCAGGTTTTGTTCCTATTCCTCAGAACCTGGTATGAAAGGTCATTATTCTATTGACTCCACATCTTATCACATGTTTCCTTAGTATAGAACACTAACTTCTAGCCAGTTTTTATTTCCTCTGAGAGGCCCTTCCCTGATCCTTTAGAGTAAAAGAGTTGTCTCTAGAGCCCTTAGCAAAGTATTTCTATCAAAACCCTAAAATACTTCATTAAACACACAGCAGGTGACAATTTGTATTGGCTGAACCTATAGGGTTAATCTGAAAGTATTAAGAAGGAAGAACTGTTATGAAGACCATCTTATTGCATGCACAGACATTACAAATCTGAATCCACGAGGGCTTACAAAGGAATAAAAATGGGAATGATGAGCAAGTAACAAAAGATCACTTAGAGAACTTGAAAACTCACTGGATATAGAGAATGAAAACCATAAATGTGTAGATTATATACCAGGTAGGTCAACTGAATGTATATGAAAAATGGGAACTGGTATGGCACAGTTGATTAATAAAGTATATGCTTTCCCTCTGTATAGCATTCTGAATATATGGATAACAAATGATCACAATAAGTATTAAAAGCTTCACTGAGAAAGAAGGGATGTAGAGAAGCAAATGTATCTAAGGAAAGGCAGTATTAAATATAGAGGAAACTAGAAGATACAAGCAGCAAACTCTTTATCATTGGTCAGTTTTAGCAATTGCAGTAGCTTAAAATGTCCACTGTCAAACTGACATGGTGAATGTTGCAGTTGATAACAACCAGAAATTATAAAAAAGTTAAGTGGCTAAACAAAAATGGGATTCTAATTTTAAGAGTTCACCTGGTCATGACTGTATTATAGCTGATCATGATACCCTCAAGTCAGTATTTTTCTACTCATTGTTTCCAACTACAGTGTGATAGCACTCACAGTTTTAGAGGGGTAATTATTCCTTGATACTCTAAACATGAGGAATGGTAATACAATTTCATTTACTTTTTATTCATCAGTTCTCAAGAAACTTACCATTAGTAGCCAAACAGATATCTTAGAAAAGTGCTTGCTTTAATCAATCTGCTATAGTCCAAGAATGTGAGGGAAAGTTACTCTTTTTAGGAAATTTAGGAAATACCTGTCATTTTGCTGCATTGTCTCCTTCAAACTCTTATTTCCAGACCATATAGTATATCCTTTAATTGTTTCCTGGCATGAGTTCTCTTTTCAGTAGATTGTTAGTTATTTGATGGAAAGGACCAACTGTTGGTTATGCTTCACACAGTTTATTAAACAAAGATCAGCAGAATAATGCACTCGTAATGTTCCCTAAGGAATTATTATTGAGCGATGAAAGGAATGCTCTTTAGTATCATGATATTCTTTTGAGTACTTGGGGTAAAACATTTTTCAGGGGTTTGATTCCCAAAATAGTTTTGGCCACATAAAACCAAAATTTAAACACTTTGTTTTGATGTTTTAAAAATAGGTAATAAGGAAAAAAACAAAAAACAAAATAGGTATTAAAGGGCTGGAGTGTAGCTCATTGTTAAAGTGCTTGCTTAGTATATGTCCAAGGTTCTATTGATCCCTAGGATCACCTATACAGACATGGCCACAAAATATGTAATATAAAAATTATTAAATTTCTAATAAACTAGCTTAATTTTTTATTTTTAAAAAATATTCGTTTTTTAGTTTTAGGTGGACATAGTATCTTTATTTATTTATTTATTTTTATGTGGTGCTGAGAATCGAACCCAGTGCCTCACACATGCTAGGCAAGCACCCTACCACTTGAGCCACAACCCTAGCCCCTTAATTTTTTAAATAAGAGAAATAATAATACCTAACCTTTTCTGCATCCTTGTTATAAGCCAAGTGTAATTCTAAATGTTTTACCTAAATTGACTTGTTTAATCCTAAAAATCTCTATAGCCAGGTATCATTATTATCCAAAACAACTTGCTGAAATAAGTAGGAAGTGTTACGTGTTGGAGCTAAACCGTGTGCCCAAGCTGCATTTATGCCAAATTCCATATATGAAACTAAGCTAGATGCAGTTTTGCCTAAAGGATTATATTTTAACTGTATAATAGTTCAGATTTCTCTCCTCAAGAGTAGGCCAAGAAAATCTATTGAGCTGTATACTTAAGATTTGTATATTTTATTAATATATGTATGTTTTATTAATGCTTTAATACAAAGCTTATGTTCAGAAACAAAAACTACCACTTAAAGCCAAATTTGCATCAAGTATAAAAAATTTTAATGGTATAAATCATTTCAGCATTGGTTATATTCCTGATTGCATTTAATGTCTTTTGCCTTGTTATACCTTCCTTTCCCATCTAACTTTATTATTAGTTTTCCATCTTTTATATATTTACATTTGTTGATTGAAACTTAATACCATTTGCAAATAAAACAAAACAAACATGAATATATTTGATTTCAGAATCCCCACCTGTAAGTAACTTCTAAGTATAGTAGTAATTATTCATAATATTCATAAAAATCACTTATACAATTCTGGATTATAGTACGGCTCCTTGTAACTGAAAGAAAGCAAAGAAGTCATCAGGTAGAATGGAGACATGGGCACCACATTCTGTTGATTCTTTCCTTACAATGATTCCCAAATTCTCTTACTTGTTCTTAATGTCATTGCTACAGGTCAGGCCTCCTTACCATCTACTGCCCAGGTTACTGAGATTAAGTCTAAATACTGGGCTGGGGTTGTAGCTCAGTGGTAGAGCGCTTGCCTAGAATGTGTGAGGCACTGGGTTAGATTCTCAGCAACACATATAAACAAATAAAATAAAGATCCATTGACAACTAAACAATATTTAAAAAATTTAAATACTGCTGATAACCATTTCTTTAACATCAATGTAAATAGAGATATTCTCACTTAAGATTACATTTTCTTTGCTTATATTTACACAGTCCTTCTATTAATATTTTAGAACAGAATTAAAATTTTCCCTTTGTTCAAACAGGAATAATCAAAAAGGGCTAATGAATAGCCTAGGGTGGCCAAGCAGTGAGAAAGTACCTAAGTTTCTTATCTCAAATTCCCATAATAACTGCTTCTAAGAGAAACTTTTCTTTCTGGATAATAAACTCCTAAAACCATGCTAGTCTGTTTCCTTATTTACCTCACAGAGGGCCCTTATCCTTCAATTCAGCACTAACAGTGACCTGGTAGTCTTGTTTCTCACTAACATAATATGCCATTTTCTCAAATAGACTGTATTATGCTGCAGCCTTCCTATCTGTAAACCTCAGTACTTTTCTTCTTTTGAGTGACTTTCATGAAGCTACATTCTCTTAAGTTCTCACTCCTTTGTCTTGTTTGGACTTTTTTTTTTTTCGGGGTGGGGGAAGTGCTGGGAATTGAACCCAGGAACTTGTGCATGCAAAGCAAACACTCTACCAATGGAGCTATATCCCCAGCCCTTGTTTTGACTTTCAAATATATTAAATATATATAGAAATATATCCTTTCCAGAAAAATTTTAATCATTGTTGATAAAATTCCTTTTCCCAGGTGCCTAACACTCAATACTTGGTCTTTCCTGATGCTCATTGTCCCTATTTTATAAACAATATTAATACATGGCTACCACAGAAAACATGAACATGTTTCTTATACATAAATTGTTTTGCAACTTGCTTTTTTCATCTATTCTTTTTGAGAGCTAATTGGGTGGACAAATATAGAGCTAGCTCATTCTTTTTATTTATATTATTTCATTTTTTATAGTTGTAAATGGACAGAATGCCTTTATTTTGTTTTATTTTTATATGGTGCTGAGAATGGAACCCAGTACCTCACACATGCTAGGCAAGTGCTCTGCCACTGAGCTATAGCCCCAGCCCTATTTTTTGTGGTGATGGGATTAGAACCCAGGGCCTTGCACAAGCTACATGCATTATACCACTGAGCTGTATCCTTAGCCCTAGTTCACTTTTCTTAAACTAATGTACAGAAGTAAACCAGTTTCTTACCTACTTACCTCAGGTTTCTTTTTTCTTGTGGTGCTGGGTTTTGAGCCCAGGGCTTTGTGCTTGCTAGACAAGCGCTCTGCCAACTGAGCTATATCCCCCCACCCCAACCTCAAAAGTTTTTTTACCATTGTTTTGCTAGTCTTTCCTTGAGGATTCACTAAATTAAGTGAAGGAAGTATATCCTTCAAAGCTCAGTCTTGGATTTTTGCAATGCTTTTTCAAGACTTACTCAGAAAGCCTGTATTGTTTCTCAGTGTTTTATTATCCTCTTTATGTTAAGAATTCCTAAACCCACATCCTCATCAGTAACCTTTACCTCAATTTAAGCTACTCAAAAGTGCCTGCTCTAGGCTATTTCTCTATTACTTAAAATGCATGTTGCCCACACTGTTACACTATATCAAACTCAGCCAATTAAGAAAAAAATTATGGAGATGCCTTACAGAACATGACTGCACAGGCAAGGAAACCTTTCATATGATGTTACTCTAACAGATTAAGGCAGAAAAGATGAAGGCCTGAATAGAAATGATAATGTGGATGGAGAGAAAATAGATTTAAGAGATGTTTCAAAGAACTAATAATCTTGCCAGGGGTGGCTCATACCTATAATCTCAGCAACTGGAGAAATTAAGGCAAAATGGTAAGTTTGAATCCATCCTCAACCACTTGGTGAGACCCTGTTTCAAAACAAAAGGGTGGGGGGTCTGGGATATGGATCGGTGGTAAAGAGGGCCCCTGAGTTCAATACTCAATAATGCAATTAAAAAAAAAAAAAAAAAAGACAATCTTGGTTACCAAAGTGGAGAAGAAAGGAAATAAGAAAGTCAAGATGACTCCAAGCTATTTGATTTGAGTGACTAAATATCTTTGGCTGTCATTCAGTGAGCTAGAGAATACTAAAGGGGATGAATCTGGTATTAAAAATAGTGAGTCAGAAAAGCCTACATAACATCATGGTAAAGATTTATTAGCTAGGTGGATTTGGATTCATGGCAAGTGATAAATGAAAGCATAAAAGTGGAAGAAATAGACCTAAGTTGGCATAGAAGAGAGGAAAAAAATAAGAAATATATCACAAACATAAATTCATTACTTACCTTTTCAAATTGTGTCTCCTTCCAAGCCTCTCCATTTTTTTTTAAGAATAAGCCTATCTTTTCTTAAAATTTTCATACTTACTCCTTTGCCTCCAAAAATATTGTCTCTGCAAAGTAGTGGAGGCAAAACATAGACTCTTGAGCCATATTTTCTACAAGTAAAACCCTGCTCAACTATAACAATGTGACTTTGTGCAAGTTACTTATCAATTCTGCTTCAGTTTTCCTGTCTACCAATAGTAAATTACTTTATACTGTGGTTATGGAGAATTAAATCAGTTAATTTGCAGGGCCAGGGGCACTAGGGATTGAACCCAGAGGTGCTTAACCACCAAGCCACATCCCAGGCATTTTTTATATTTTATTTTGAGACAGGGTTTCACTGAATTGCTGAGGCTGTCTTTGAGCTCATAATCCTACTGCCTCAGCCTCCTGAGCTGCTGGGATTACAGGTGAGAGCCACCACATCTGGCTAAATCAGTTAATTTTTAAAAAAAGCTTCAAATGTTGTATGTGATCTACAAGCATGTGTTAAGTAAATAGACAAAACCTGTTAGTTTTTATTGTGAAATCCTTCATATGCATTCTTTTCTGATACTCACTTAACCAATTCTCCATATATCATTTTTATTTTTAATTTGAGATAGGGTTTTGCTAAGATGCTAAGGCTTGAACTTGTGATCCTGCCTCAATCTCCAAAGGTGCTGTGATTACAAGCATGTGGCACCATGCCCAGCCTAAAATTGACTTTAAAAGGCCACTAATGATCTCTTAATAATGAAATTAATCACTTTTTCCCCTTCTTATCCCTCAGGTGCTTTTGCATGAATTAATCCAGTGGAGTCTTCAATTCTCTTGATAACTGGGTCTTCTTGGTTGCTAGAACCCTCTGTTTCCGCTACTGTACCAACTACTACTAGTTACAGTTCTTTTTCAGCTTCATAAAATGCATCCACTACCTTCCCCTGTCAAAATGTCCTTCTTCCTCAACACTCCCTTTTTGATGCCAGCTCTTCCTATAGCTTCCACCTATATGCTACTATGTTTTGGCTGATCTCCAGATGTACACTTCCAACTCTATGCTGGGCGAGTTCTGTGTGGCTATCCCATTAGATTTCAACGTGTACAAAAAGTGAATTTGTAATCTACACTAATCTTATCATTCTGTTTCTGATTATGGTATCATATTCTTCAAAGGCCTAAAGTATATGAATGAGATTAGATTTGATACCTTTTGCTCCCTCAACATAAATTACCTATGGAGTCTTGACACTGTTATGTCAAGCAACCAATATTACTGTCATAACTGTAATTCAGGAATTTACTGCCACTCCCCAAACTTATCCTATTACCCCCTTTAAACGTAATTACAATAAGTACTTAACCATTATCTTTAAAAAGTCCAGATTCAGTTAATAGGAATTTCTTCCTTACAGACTTATTATAGAAAAAAAAATGACTTTTTGCAATGAAAATCAGACTCATCAAAAAACTGTCATTAGAATTAAACCTTTCACTGTCTGGCCCCAGTCTACTTTCCTCAAACTCCATCTTATGCACAGAAGCTCCTCCAGCCCCACCCCGATTTACTCTTTCACACATTACACTCAGTCATTATTTAGTAGCACACCAACTGTTCGTTCTAATTGAAAGCCTCTTCCACACTTTATCCTCGCCAAGAAGTGTAATTCAGATTTCTCTTCTAAAGTCTTCCTAGCTCTGCTCCTTGAACAGTTCGTACATATAAAGCAACCTATCTATCCTTCTTTCTTTCCCTCTCTCTCTGAAATGCACTTGTTTATATATGGCTCACACACTAGACCCTGAAAATTTTAACGACATTTAACGAATCCCCAGCGCCTGGCATAATGCCAACAATGTACAAAGTGTTCTGGCCACTGGCTGAACTGGGGAATTCCCATTGAAAGAGTAACTCGTATTCTCATGGGTTGGCGCTAAAGGCCTTGCCTTAGGCAGGCTCCCGCAGATCGTTTTCCCGAGCCTCAACTCTGGCACTTTCAACAAGACGTCAAGATCCAGCATCGGGGTCAAATGTTGGGCCCTCGGTTGGGGTGCCAGGATGCGGTCCCTAGGGTATGTTCGGGCTCTCCACTCCAGAAGCAAGGAATGGGGAGGGAGGCAACGTGGGCCGGACTAAGGGCTTAATTAAGTCCCCTAGGGCCTAGGCTAGTCTCTTGGCCCTCTTTTTAGTGCAGGTCCCGGCCGATCCAGGGCCCCAAGGGGTTCCATTTTGAGAGATCCCGTATCCCAGCCCGGTGCTCCGGCCGCGTCGAACTTACAGACCCGGGGGAAGGTCGCCGTCAGGATCCGGCACAGCCAGGAGCTCCGGCCCCTCGGGGCTCCGGGAAGGGGGAGGGGCAGGGAACCGGAGCCAAAGGGGGACCCAACGGAACCGGAAGGGCAGCCCTGGCCGGACAAAGACAACTTCCAGGTCCCATGGTCATCTCCACCAATCGGAATGCTCGGAGGACGACGGGGCCTCGAGAGGGACTTTCCGCGCTGTAGGCGGGGCGCGGGCAAAATGCCCAGTACTCTTGCTACTTCGTTAGCTTCCCGCTGGAGCTGTGGTTCGTGAAGCGTCCGTGGCTTCGGCCCTGTGTGCTTCTCGAGGATCTGTTGACCCAGGCTCCCTTCTCGGCGGCTTTTCTCGAGCTGGGCCTCCGCCGTCTGCTGCATGGCGTGGGCCTGAAGGGCGCCTCCGCTCTTAAGCCTTGGTAAGTCCCTCCCGCTTAGGGATGTGGACTCGACGCGCGGGAGCCAGGAATGCAGAAAGCAGTTTATTCTCATTTCGGTGTTTGTTAGGAATCTTGCCTCGGGGTTCTTTCTCCTCCCGTGTCAGTCCTAGGGTAATCTCTTGCATTCACATTCCAGATCCTTTACAGATCTCTCTCGACATCCCAGATACCTGTGTTGATCTCCAGAGCCAACCGTCCAGAAGACATCTTCCAATTGGTTATCCCAGTGTTAATATGCCTTTTGAGTATCTCAAGTTCATCTCCAGACCTGCCTCCACTCAGCCCCTGTAGTTCACGTGTTGGTGGACTGCATCATCCATGAATTCCTCCCTAACCAGAAAATTTTAGTATCATTCTAGAACCCTTTTCATTGCCTTTCAATCCCATTGTTTACTGAATTCTCCCTATTTCTCACCCCCCCTTGGGGCTGTATTGTGAGAAAGTATAATCATTTTAATCTTTTGTGTTAAAGTGTGACTAATTACATTCACGATGTTGTGTAACCTTCACCGTTAGTTCTGTTCAACCTTATCCTTTTATGTGTGATATACAGTTTTGTTGAAAAGATATCTTTCCCCGTTAAACGGTGGTCTTGGCATTCTTGTTGAGAATCAACTGGCTACATATACGTAAACGTGTATTTCTGGACTATCTATAGTACAGTGGTCCATATATTATTTTGTTAGTACATTTATTACTATTAGGATTGAAGGCAGGGGTACCTAACCACAGAGCCACATCCCCAGCTAAGCTGCTGAGGCTGGCTTCAGACTTGTGATCCTCCTGCCTCAGCCTCCTGAGTCAATACTGTTTTAATTACTTTAGAGAGAGAATTTTTTTTTTATATTTATTTTTTGTTCTCGGCAGACACAACATCTTTGTTGGTATGTGGTGCTGAGGATCGAACCTGGGCCGCAGGCATGCCAGGCGAGCACGCTACCGCTTGAGCCACATCCCCAGCCCTGTTTTAATTACTTTAGTTACAGCTGTTTGGAAGTTGCACCTTGTGAGCTCTTCAGTTTTTTTCTTTTTTCAATATCATTTTGTTAATGTCAGATTTTTTTTCACTTCCATCTGAACTGAGAATTGACTTTTCCAGTTCTTCAAAAAAGGCTTTAGGAATTGTATTGAATTTGTACCTTGCTGTGTATATCATTGACAACTATGTATTATTATTATTTAATATTTTATTTCAGATGTATACAACACGTTTATTTAATTTTATGTATTTTTTATTAGTGCTGAGGATTGAACCCAGTGCGGCAAACCTGCTAGATGAGCACTGTACCACTGGGCCACAACCCTAGCCCTACAACTGGCTATTATTGACAACAGTTATGTGTACCTATCCATGAACATGGGATATCTTTCCATTCTTTTAGTTCTTTGTTAATTTTATTCAGCTTTCAGGTTTTCAGGATGTGTCATTCATTTAGAAGATATTTTGATTGAATTACTTCCTCTTAATATTGTTTATTGCTAGTGTGGAAAACAACTGTTTATGTCTATTGTTTTTGTATCCTTAGAACTTTACTGAATTTGTTTATTAGCTATGGTAGCTATATTGTGGATTCTTTGGAATTTTCTGCATATTAGATAGTGTAGTCTGTTAGTCTGTGATTAGAGATTACTTTATCTCTTTTCCAATGTTTTTTTTTTTTTAACGTGTTTGCTTTTTTCTTCGTCTTCTTCTTCTTTTTTTTAATCTAGTAGCTCTGGATACTGGAACAGTGTTGAACTGCAGCAGTGGAAGTGAGCATTATGTTTTATTCTTGATGTTAAGGAAAAAGCTTTTCATCATTGAGTATGAAGTTTCTCATACTGTGAATTTTTCATTAATACCTCTATCATGTTAAAGAATTTCCTCACTATTTAAATTTTCTGAGATGTTATGAAAGAGTATTGGGTTTGATCAGATCTCTTTTCTGCACCAGTTGGGATGCTTGTATACTAACTGTCTTCATTCTAGTTTTGTAATGTATTATATTAATTGATCTCATGTGGAACTAATTAGGATGAATTCTACTTGGTTATGATGAATAATTCTTATGCTTTTGGAAAAAATATATATATAATCTTTATTTATTATTTATTTATTTTTATGTAGTGCTGAGGATCAAAACCAGGGCCTCACACCTTTTGAGGCAAGTGCTCTACCACTGAGCTATAGCCCTAGCCCTGATTTGTTTATATTTTGTTGATTATTTTTGCATTTGTTTTCATAAGAGATATTGATCTGTAATTTCTTGTGGTGCATTTATCTGGCTTCATTACCAAGGTAATGCTGGCCTCATAAAATGTGTTAAGAAACGTTCCTCCTCCTTCAGTTTTTTTCAAGAGTTTGAGAAGCATTGTTAGAAATATCTCCCTAAAAGTTTAATAGAATTCACAGGTAAAGCTGTGTGGCACTTTGTTTTGTTGAGAAGTTTCAATTGCTGATTCAATCTGTACTTGTTATACATCTGTTGAGGTTTTCTATTTCTTCTTGAATCAGTTTAGGAAATTTTTATGTTTTAAGGAATTGGCATGTAATTATTAATACTAATCTCTTATATCTGTAATGTTGAGAGTAAATGCCTCACTTTTAATTTCTGATTTT